GCCGGCGGGTTTCGGGTTTTTTTGTGGTGCGGGAGGGGAAGGGGGGCTGGCGTGCGCGGTCGGACTCACCTCAGACGTTCTCGCATTTCGCCTTCGCTCCGTTAACCACATTTAGCCGCGTAACATTCCACCACAGGTAATGTATATTTTTCCGGTAAATTTATACTGCAAGGGAGGGGCGAGTGGGAAAACGATCCAGGGAAACTGCACGAATTACTCTGCGCAGGGGAAAAAAATGATTTTCAGGAACATATCACTGATTTTTGGGAATCTATGACTAATTGTTGGTGGTGCTGGTTACTGAGTGGAAGAAGTCTGATCATCAGTGGTTTCTATCACTGAAATTTGGTGAATGATTTCTAGGAATTGGAGATGGGTCCCTGAAAATCAGTGACGTTTTCCTGGAAATTTCCTCGATTCTGATTACAACCAATCAGAGTACAGTACTCGGGACCACGTGACACCTACACATCAGTTTTATTTTGATAATTCACGGGGGGAGAGGTGAATTATCAAACTGATAGTTCACCTATGACCAATTGTTAGCGGTACTGGATACTGAGTAGAAGTCTGATCATCAGTGGTTTTTATCACTGAAATTTGGTGAACGATTTGTAGGAATTACACGGAGAGAAATATTCAATAAAAATTGCGTATCTTTTCCGTAATTCCGAAATTTTACGGAACTGTCACAGAATTTTTTCGGAGCGTTCCGTGATTTTTTTCTGAATTTTCTGTGAAAAATTACGATACCGTCACTTAATTTTCGACCAGAGTGGAGTATTGGGGATCACGTGACACCTACACATCAGTTTTATTTTGATAATTCACCGAATGAGAGGTGAATTATCAAACTGATAATTCCACAGTAGCCTATTAATTGTTTTCACCTATTTGTTCAGATATTTTCCACATTCTGGTGAACGGCGTCACGTAACCCCGAACAACTCAGGAAAATTTAAAATTGAGGACATCATTCGCCGAATGCCCCTCGAAATGCTCTCAAGTGACGGTTTTCACTGAAATTTTAGAGAATCTCGTCATTGAAAATCATTGAAAATCATTGGGAAAAATGATTAATGATAGGCTTCAATAAAACGGTATAATTCTCACTACAGGTATCCGTTCGTGCAGCTCCCCCTCACATCTCTCAAAAAGCAGAAAATTCTAAGCTTTATAGTGACGTTTTATGAATACTCCGAGAATACGAGCAGTTTCGTGCCATTCCATCATTTGAATGAGCGGAAAATGAGGGCTTGAATTATGAAGACGAGGGAATAATGAAAATCTACTGCGTTTGTTTCAATTGTTCGCAAGAAAACTAATTTCTGAAATTTATAATGACATATTTATCGCGAGGAAGTTGTTATTCATCTGCATCATGGATACTCGGAAAACATTCTGTTTTAAGTAGAAGAGGCAGGAAAATATGAACGCATCCAACATTTTAGTTTCTCAATTATTTTACAATTATAGCGAGTGTTATGCAGAGAAGACAAAACTTTTAGTTTTGCAGGTACTTTCACTTATTTCCGCTATTTCCGATAAATTCACATTAGCGCACCTGGAGAAATGACGCACTCAAATTCTATAAAGCACTCTATTTGAAATTGTTCCATCCATTCCAATAATCTTTTTGCTGAAATCAAATAAGCAATTCATTCGATCCAACTAAAGTCTATTCCCTAAAATGATTAATTTAATTTATAATGAATAGTTTTTCATTGAATCAAGGAAACATTTTTTACATAAAAAAAACTATTGATTGGAGGTGAATAATAAAGCAAATAAAAATAGAATTGAAGTTTGGATATAATTTGTATCATGGGCTGTTCCAGAAAAACCACTCATTTTATTTAAAAAATTTCACTCCATTCAATATAATCGTCTCTCTGGATGCACTCGCTGAACACCTCACTCCCCCATTTATTGAAATCTCCACAGAAGCCTTCCCAGAAGCCTCAATCCCCTAGTGAATATTACACCTAATAACTGCAGTCATTTAAACGTCGACAGGTAATAGCCACCCAAGTAAATTCCCACCAATTGCCACCGAAACCTGTCAATGCCGGATCTTCTCACTCACCCGTGAACGAACCCTCATTAAAAATAAAAACTCCACGAAGTGCGCGCGTTACGCCAACCAACGGATGTTGAGTTGTCTCAGAAAGGTGAAAATTTTGTGAAGATCAATAGAAAATTCAGGTAAAAATAATTCTTGAATATTCAATTAATTGAAAATTAGTAACTTCGTAACTTCGCTATGAATATTCAATTTTTTATTGAAAATTCAAGTAAGTTTAGCAATTCCCATCTCAATTTTCAGTTATAATATCCTGATACCTTCAAAAATATCAAATATTTTCTGAAAGCTTCGTTGTAAACCATAACTTGAAACAATAAATTACATTATGAATATATTACATATCAAAACATTTGATGTGCGAGAAAATCATATTTGAGTACAAGAATATGTTAAAACATGAGACCTTTCTCGGACCACGTGCACTGTTAAAAATTTTCGTCTGAATTTTCCGTGTCAAATTCCGGAAATTTTTTTCGTGTTCAAATGATCTGAAAATCAATAAAATACTTGATTCTTCAGTTCAATTATTCTGTGAAAATTGAGAAAAGTCTGGAAATTTCAAGAAAAAATTGAAAATTCATGTTATTTTGTTTCTAAATATCCATGTTCCACTCAAAATTCAATCAAGTCGTGAAATGTCCATCTCACTCCCACTGAAAACTCACGAATTCCCGTGAATTCTATTTAAAACTTGAAATTTCACAAAATTTCCAACAGTATGAATTGAAATGGCTGATAGAATTAGGCGATTGAAGAAAAATATAGTCACAAGTAAATATGTTTCCGATATTACAATTTTTTTTCTCAATGTAGCTAATATCCACCCAAGTAAATTCCCCCTAATTGCCGCCGAAACCTGTCAATCCCAGATCCCCACTCAGCCGTGAACGAATTCCCCATAATAATAAAACTTCACGAAGTGCGCGCGTTACCCCGTCCAACGGATGTTGAGTTATACCAGAAACTACAGTTGTGTACAAAGTGTAATACCTGAATTCACAGTCTCAGGCATTCATTTAGCCAACGTACACCATGTGCCAAACGCAATTTTCGATGAAATACACATGAACCGGTGGAATTTTATTCTCACACGGTAGTTTACACATGAATACTCAGCGAAGAAAAAAAACCACCATCAGTGGGACACTGGTTGCATGGCCAAGTCAACCCACGTTACCTACACTGTTACATGTTATTACGTCGGTTGCGTGCTAGTCGACTGTTACCCTCACTAGGTCAAAACCATGATGATGCAGTTGGTTCTCACTTGGTTCGCTTAGCACCCCGAAGGCCACCGAGTTTTCATTCGTAATGAAGCGAGACTGTGATGCATCGGCGGATAAATTTTCAGCCCTAATGTCATCCACGTGACCTCTGTTTCGCGCGATTCAGGAAAATGTTTATATTCTTCAACGACGTATTACTGTGATTCAGGTGGTAAAATGGGTTATTTGAGCTAATGCATTGGCCGTCGTTTTTGAAATTTATAGTCTTCAAATGATTTCGTGAATTTATGAATTATTGTAAAACGGTTTATGGTGCACGTGTTCTTGATTATAGAGTTTTATCTTGGGAGGAGGGACTCTAGGGGCAGTGGCGAGGGGATTTGACGAAATTATTAGTGAGATGTGGGGAATTCATTTGAAGATGAGTTGACGGGAATTGTGGGGATTACTTCGGTTATAATACTCCGAGAGCTGCAAGATGATCGGGTATTTCGAGATAACTTCGTTGCGTACAAACGAAGATGTCAAGTTTCGCAGGTTAAAAAAATCGCGAGCACTTGGGCGGAAAGTTGAGGCATTCGTTTTTATGCAGGGAAGTTTGAGGGAAATACTCCAATTCATTTTGAATTCATTTTCATTTTCAAATAGAATTGTGGTTTTCGGTATCATCGTTGTACAATCAATATTTCTTGTTATTATGCTTGACAACGGGAAAATTGCCGAGCGACGAAAAGTTATCAGTTATATCGATTATACCCCGAGGCCCTTAAAAATTATCGGAAATTTCCCGATAGTTTCGTTGCGTAGCAGAAAAATCACTGACGCATCGCGCTCGTGATTTTTATCTCGCAAAACTCATCCCAATCGATGACACGCAGGGAAACATGAGGGAAATATCCGATGAATTTTGAAGGTCGAGAAATATTCTGACGAGAATTTCCTTCCTCCTGGCTTCGACCAATCAGAATGCCGTGGTCGAAGTCATATGGCACCTTAAACGAACATCTCGCAGAAGTAAAAAAAAAATACTTAATCTTGTGATTAATTTCTCGTAAATAATTCTAATCAAATCGACTCATTTTGAATGACTCTTTATCTTGAATCAAATTAACACAACTTATTTCACAAATTGAAATGCACGGAGAGAAATAGTCAACAAAAATTACGTCTCCTTTCCGTAATTCCGGAGTAAAATATGGTTGTAGGAAATTTTACGGAACTGTCACGGAATTTTTCCAGAGCGTTCCGTAATTTTTATCTGAATCACCTGTGAAAAATTACGATACCGTCACTTAAATTTTCTGAGTTGATTCCGTAATCGATGAGCGAATTGTGAGTTCCGTGATTCTTACGAAACATTTCTCTCCGTGTGTCAAAATCAGAGAGAATAATTGACCGGGAACTATGAAATTATCAAAATAAAACCGACGTGAAGTTGTCACGTGACCTCAAATACTGCGCCCTGATTGGGCGAACCGAGAAGGAAGAAAATTCTCGATATAATTCTGTTCTGATTACCCACGGGACATCGAATACCGCAATTCCATAGTTCGAAAGGGAATGGCACAAATAATCCCTGAAACTAGAAATTCCAATTATTTCAAACACACGACCATCGAATCTCGAAATTCGTTCCACAATTCCCTTCACTGGGTCACCCCAACGCGCCTTCCCACTAGTTTTGGCCAATCCCGGAAAATCTCAATTCCCCCCCATTACCGCGAATAACCCCTGAGAGGCACCAATCACCATCCGCGTTGTATAATTCCAAATGCCCCGTCCTCATAATTCCAATATTATTTCATTTACAATTTTCTGAACTTTCCTCCAACTCTCGCAATAATTTTATGGTCTCCTTTCGCCCGCAAGCGATGACTCGTTTCCGATTCGATTCGTCGGGCATTCCCGGAAGAAGGCTCATAATCCAAACGATTCCTCGCGGTCGTTCGACTCATCCCCGTACCCCGAACATAAAACGATGATGGATATTGCTCTTGTTGCATACTGGGACAACTCAAGCGTGCACAGAAGTGGAGCATCACAAAACTTACAACTATGATATTCTTTAGTACGTGAAGTACATTTATGCTCGAAGGATAATATCCACTCGTCCATATATGTGGATGGGTTTTGTTGAGGCCAGCCTCCGAAAGGAAAAACATTCACTGTCGATGGAATATTCCTCTCCCTGGGATGTACCAAGGCGTGATGTAGATGACTTTTTGTTGAGGAAACGCTGAACTGGATGAGTTTCTTGTTGGATCTATTAGTGGAGTTAGAGCACTGATAGTTTTTTTTTTCTTTTCGTTTTTATATCTTTCAATTTATCCGCTTTGCAAACCTCGGCTTCTCGTAACTCATCAGGACTATTCCGTGTTCTGTAACTATGGTTTTATTTTTGCTTTCAGGCTCACGTGGATCCTGCTCATCGGTAGCATCGACGTATGCTGGGTAAGGTGTTCTTTCAGTTGAGGCTAATTATTCTATGGGGCAGTTTAACTTTGGAATTGCTGGGTTTTTGATGAATGTCTTTGGGTGTGAGGAAGATCCTTATTTGTGATGTTTTTGTTGAATGAGATGTGTGGTATTTTCTTCGAGTTACAAGATGTACTCAGAAACAGGAAGGAGGACACTAAAAAGTCGTATGGTGTATTTGTTTAGTCATTTTTTTTGTACTTTTTTTACTTCAAAATAATGTGAACTTCATTTAAGAATGGGATTACATTCATTGGAAATTGTATTCTTTGGAAAAGTTAAATTGAATGTGGCTGAATCAAACTGATTTTGTATCGTTATTCATTCAAATTTTGGGAAATGACAGGAAATTAATTCGTTCTCAATTTTTTTTCTGTAATACTCTAGACTTTTAGATGAAAATTGAATATTTTCGAACAGTTTAGTTGTAATTTCCAGGGACGCTATAGTAAAGTTCATTTGGGATTTAAAAAATCATGAAATTCCAATGAAAACATGAAAATCCAGCATTCAATTAGGCTGGATGGAATTTGATTGATTCAGAATTCACGAATATATTTATTTGAATTCTCTTGATTTCTATTCATTTCAATTTATCCACTGATTTTTCTCAATCAAACTGAATTTTACTACATAAATCCTTGAAATTTAAGTAGAACTGTCACTTGACGAAAATTTCAATGTAAAAATCATAAACTTATGAAAAATAAAAATCACGAAATTTTTTATTTTACCTGAAATTTAATGGAATTTCGATTTCATGGACGACAGGAATACGAGAATTTCCTATCCTACTTAAATTTGTATTAAAAATATCACTATTGATTAGAAAAAATTAACAATGACCCAACATGGATTGACTCATCAATAAAAAAATGATAATAATAATGATAACCAAGACTACAACTGTCTGTGAGGATAAATTAATATGAGAAATATATAGTTATTGATCTGTACACATATCAGCGAGAAACAGTTAAACATTTTCGAATGACAAATAGATACCGCAATCAGCACTTCCTATCAAGCCTAACAGATGCTAACCCCCTCGCTAACTCCCAAGATACGCTCATATCGATAAACTCAACATTAGCAAACCTCCGCAAAACATATTGCCCCGGAACTCCTAGCCATTTTCCTAATTGATCTACAACCAGAAACGACTCAATCGAAAACAAATGGGCGGCAATAACCCACTGAATTTTTCCATCCAGGCCACAGGTTTAGAAACAACTGAGGCAGAAAGATCAAATGGCGAAACAATTCTGGAGGATGCAACTGAGGACTACTGGGCAGGAAGTGGCTCCGGCCCCGAGGAGGACGAGACAAATCGAACAGAAACACGAGAAGCCCTTACCCACGAAGCTAGTGATCAGGATGCCGTAAGTAAACTTGATCATTAATTAGCGTTAAAAAAATTATGTTGAGAAAATGAGATCTTCTCGTCGGCTAGACTCACTCGTCGGTGATAAAATGGCGGGGGGGGGAGGGGGAAGGAAAGAATTTTCGTTGCAATGCGACGGGATCCGTAAGTTTCCGCTCGTTGAATAGTTGATCGACCAACGGTTTTCTGGAGGACTTACGCCATGATCGCGAGTTTTCAGCTTGTGGCAGGGGTTCTCTTGTGGAATTATGAGAATAGAGGTACGTGGCGATGGGAAAGCTCATCTAGAAATGGTTCACGTACGATAAAATTTCCTAGAAAAATCTGACGGATTCGCAAGAAAATTCTGTTGGATTTTTTAATAGGAATGATCGGAAAATATTCTATTGGGAAAAAATCAGAAGAATTAGATTTTTCTCTACAACTTATTCTGTTGAGATATCGTCGTATATGTAATACCACAAGAGCTTCAAAATCATCAGATATTTTCCGATAGGTTCGCTGCCGACAAACGATGAAGTTTGCAGATTAAAAATTTACGATTTGATTAAAAAATCATGATTTTTCCTGAGAAACTTGGAGACTTCGTTTGTTCGTAGGGAATCTTGAATCTTTAAGAAATTTTCGATAAAAATTAGACCTCCAGAGGGCGAAACGTGGGACGAAGGTTAGTTTAATCGCAAAAATTAGACTCCCAAGTCTAATTTTTCCGACAAAACTTAATCTAAAAAATGGTTGAATGTCATTTCGTCCCACGTTTGGCCCTCTGGAGGTCTAATTTTTATCGAAAATTTCTTTCCGTGAATTCAACTATAACCATGGACCACTCGACATATTTGGACAAACATTTTTTTCGCCATGGAAAAAAGGATCTATACTTTGCTTTGGAAAGCAGACGAGATACGGAGAATGGGTCCTGGATAGCGGTGCCGGGGCCATCAATCGCCTATGACTAGAGTCAATGTTTCGTCGGTTAACGCCCCGGTACTTCTGCATACACCTGGCGCAATACTAAACTACATTACTTGGGCATTTTATCACCAGGCAAACGGCGTCTTGGGATGCAGATGGGTTTACCGTTTCTCGTAAATCAATTCTATGCATCAATTTGCCAGTTAAAGAACGCAATGGATGGAGACAGGGGGAAACTGTTGATTTACTTCTTCACGCTGTTGGGGGGGAGGGGGGGGGGTCCGCAGATGGTTATTTAAATTGGGATTTATGAGGGATGGAGGTATGGGTCTTGAGAGGGAGAGGACGAGGTTTTGTGGAATCACTGGTGGAGAAAAATTGAATTTTCAGGGACAGTTTTGTAGACTGAGAAAAAAAATCTAATATCTGAAACATATTTACTTGGGACAAGTAATTTTCCTTCAATTGCTTAATTCTCCGAGGCATCTCAACTCACACGGAGAGAAATTCTTTAGAAAAATTCTAGTATTAGCACGGGAAAAAGAGTGTAAAGTGACGGCCAGGGAAAAAATTCCAGTGCCGGCAGTGGAAATTTTATTGAGTAACGCAGGAATTTTTCCCATTCTTAATATAAATTGTTCACATAAAACCCCGGAAATTTCGTCAGGAATCCCCAGAAATGTTAATAGCACTAGAATTTTTTTAAAGAATTTCTCTCCGTGCACGTGGTCCGAGGAAGGTCTCATGCTTTAAAATATTCTTTCACTCAAGAATGAGTTTGTCGCAAATGAAGTCACTCAAATCGCGCCGAAGAATCGCCAATCTTCAAGTATTTATTGTTTTCATGATTTTTTTATATGCACTTCCAATATTTCGATATATAATATATTCGTGATGTAACGCGGAGCGATAATGATAAATGAGAATTTACGCGAATTTTGTGAAACACAAACATTCTGAGATTCAAGTCATTGACCGTTATTTACTTCTCTCGTGTAAATAGGCTCTGCATATTAAACAAATTTTCTCTCAATGGTAGTAATTTTCAAGCAGCAGTTAAACATTAATTCATTAAATCAACTTTATTGAATCAGACGAATGATTTTATTCGAATACATCATATAGTCATCATCAATAACACGCGCGAATACATTTCACAGAAAAACCTAGTGAATTCGCTAAAGAATTCTATTCGATTTCTGTTCAACTTCTGTTGAAAATTAATTCAATTCAATAAAAAAAATTCAAATAGAATTCCAATTTAGAGAGCTCCCACAGTTACGCGCCAGGTAATTAGTTTTTGACCACTTGATAATGAAAGACTATTAACAATTCGACCCCGAATACCTAATCACTGAGACAATCCTGACGATCAAAATTTTTTCTTCTCCTTGAAGAGTTTCGCGTCTCCCTTCGCAATAATACAATGCAAATCTCATCCAGACGTATTTCCCTTCTTATCAATGCAGAATGTAACACAAGATGACGAGAAGTCGGTTCGTAGCGGTGACTAATGACTCGCGACGCTTGATCTCGACCGCGTGACCGTTAAGCGACGCATGAATGCGCGGGCGTCGACGGGGTACATTCCCTATACTTTTGATTCTCTCCCTCCCGTACTTTTGATCCTCGCGGAACATGTCACCGGCGATAAAATGCGATAGTTACACACATGAAGCGACAGTTCCGCTTCCTGGTGTAGTTGACCATCGCAAACATCACTGGAGCGACTCCCTGTCATGAAAACTCCCTCGAGTAGTAAACAGTAATGAGGGAATATCCGATAGGTTGTTGGTCGCGCGCTCCCATTGCGGGTGGGACCAATAATTTCCCGGCCAATTGCCTCTCCTTCCTTCATCAGAATTAGATTTTTCTATACAACTTATTCTATTGAGATATTCTCCATTAAATTTCCTCGGTTCAAATTTTCCAAGTTTTTTTGTTTAATATTCTTAATGAAAAAAAAAACAGAAAATACACGGAGAGAAATGTTCAGGAAAAATTACGGAACTCCCAATTCGCTCATCGATTACGGAATCGACTCAGAAAATTTAAGTGACGGTATCATAATTTTTCACAGGAGATTCAGATAAAAATTACGGAACGCTCTAGAAAAATTCCGTGACAGTTCCATAAAATTTCCAACAGCTCCGGAATTACGGGAAAGATACGTAATTTTTATGCACGGAGAGAAATTTTTTAGAAAAATTACTGCTAGCCCGGTAAAAGAGGCGCAAAGTGACGGCAGGGAAAAATTCCAGTGCTGGCAATGGAAATTTTATTTGGGAGAACGTGAATTTTTCCCCGTATTATTCATTCAGTGACACTATACATTAATTTCAGTGAATATTCCTCGGTGAAAATTTCATAGAAATCCCCAGAAATTTTACCAGAAATCCTGAGAAATTTTACCTTAACAGCAGTAGAATTTTTCACAACCGGTGGATTGTGATTTTTTTCAGTACTCATACTAGAATTTTTCTAGAAAATTTCTCTCCGTGTGAAATATTTCACTCCGTGTAGCATGAAAAAATTGACCTATATTGAAAAATCTATGGAAAGTTGCAAATTACAAAAATTCATGTTCGAATTCCTCCAAAACCGCTGAGACGATTTTGCTGGAGTTTCACTCGATTATTCTTAATCATACAAAGTTGCATCAATTATAATGACAAGAAACCAATCTCATCGTTTCTCTGCGCGGAGTCATCAAATTCTAGGGGTCATGAAACGAGGAGAAATCGTGAAATTAATAACTCCCTTCGGGTCAGAAAGTTAAAAAATTGGTGACTGTGGAATGGTTTGAAATTTCAGGTGGTTTATGTGGGCGAGGGTGCGTCGTATGTGCCCGTGCCGGCGTTGAAGAGACCGTTGAGTCCGAATCTCCAGGCGCTGCAGACACTCCAGGGGCTGCAAGGCCTCGCTGGGGGTGGAGGCGGTGCTGGTAGCGGTGAGGACGAGTGGGGAAGACATCCGGAGACTTGGGATCGGGAGCACAGGAGGTACAGGCCGAATACTACTCGAGTACAACGTGAGTATTGGAACAACTGAGTTTGATCATTTTAGGGGATTTTCAGGGCATTTTATGGGTGGATGAGGGAATTTTTTAAGAATAATGTTGCGATTTTTCTTTGCCATGTCAGTCACTATTGCGGAGAAAAAAAAAATTTCATTTTATGGTACGTGTAAATGATTTCTAGAGACATTCCACTGAAATTCTGAAATTCAGAGATTTTGTTACCAATTTTTAATGATTAATTTTATGTGACTAACGTGAGCAATTGACACTGACATCATCGCTAATTCTTAGGGGAATGTTACTACTAATTGGGTATGGATTCCTGAAAATCAGTGACGTGTCCATAAACATTAATTTTTTTTTTCATCTGTATTCGTTCGATAATTTTAGAAAGTGTCCGGACATTTTCTTTGTGGATGAGGAAATTTTTGAGAAAAAATGTCTTGGTTTTACTGAAATATGCATGAAAAAAATTGAATAGAAATTTCCCCACTTCTGTGAAATTTTCATCAAGTGACAGTTCCAGTGACATTTCGAGGAATTTATTCGTTGAAAATCAAAAAACGACAGAAACTGTGAATTTCAGTTCAATTATCCCATAAAAATGACTAAAAATCAAGAAAATTCAGATGAATACATCATTAAATTTTTAATCAATTAGAAATTCAACGTAATTTCATCCTGAACATTCATGTTTTGATTCAAAAACCAATTTGGAATGATACTGAACTTCAATTGAACATTAAATTGAAATCTGAAATTCCCTGATTTTTCATCTGAAAATTACTCCTAAACTGTTCATGAAATTTCAACGTTTTCCTCTCAATGAACTCACTCATTATCAGATCATTGCCGGATAAATAATACACGCATGAAATAAATGCAATAAAAATTCCTAGCGCCTCTACTTGTGAATTCTATCAGTCGCTATCACCGATTTCCCCTGCAAAATTCCTAGTTCAAGACTCAATGCAATTTCATTTTCGTATACAAATAACTCTGATAGATCTATTATTCACAGGAATAGACAACGAAATATAATTCCAATAGAATTTCCTAACGGATGCAATAAACATCTGAAAAAATAATCAATATCTCAATTGAACTCAAATTAGCCCCAGTTACTACGACTTTACGGCACATTTTTCATTCCATCCTCTTCGCAAAATGCTAAAAATATCGTCGAGCAATTATCTGTGAAATATAACTACATAACTAGTCTATAAAATAATATATAAAAAAATAACTGAAAGCATAAAACGTTCCTAGTAGTAAATCCCTCAGGAGATGTATATTCTTAACCGTTTCTGATGCATTGACGCTCGAAATAATATTGAGACAAATAACGTGACGACTTGCACGTATGGACCCCTAACATTAGCCCACATCTCATAGACGTTAAAGGATGGTATTATACGTCTGGATCAATCCCGTTAGAGGAGCAATTAAAACGGTGTCGGAAATCGTGCAAGCGCAAGCGCGCGCTCCTGACACTGTGTGCAACAGAAGCCGGGGTGTCTTATTCTTTTTTTACTCATGCTGTTTTTTTCCTCGTTCTTTCTCTTTAACTGCACGTCTCAATTGCAACGTCATTACCAACAGTGGCGACTGGTCACGGCGGACAGCTGAGAAGTACCCATGTCATTTGAATAATTGTATTTTTATGTTTTTTTTGTTTGAGGTGTCTAAGGGGATCGCAGTATTGGAAACAATTTCTGACTTGTTCTCTTGAATAAATATACACGCAGATTACGCTTTTTTTATTTTTTGCATTTTGACAAGGAATTTTTGAGTAGCTTCATGTTGAGGAAGGTTTATGGGAATTGTTCTATACGAGGAGAGAAAAGGCATCTTTTCCTCATTTCTTCGTTGAAATGTACACTGAAAAATTTTTGTTTGAAATTTCCGATACACTTTTTGGAAATTTTTATCGAATGTAATTAATACTGAAATTTCAAGGAATTTCGTCATTGAAAATTCAGAATTTCGTAGAAAAATCAAAGAGAACCGTAAATTTTAGTTTTATTTTTCGCTGAAAATGAATAGAAAACCAGAAAATTCCGATAAATATATTCTTGGATTTTTAGGACAAAGACACTGAATGCGATTTAGGGGGAAAAAATTTGACACTGAGTATTTATATTTGATTGAAAATTCAAGTAAATCAAGGAATTCTCCTCGTGATGCCGCTTAAAATTCGGGAATTGTACTGAATTTTCAGTGAAACCTGAAATTTCATGATTTTTTTCTCCTAAATCACAGCCACTGCCACTGTCCTGAAAATTAGTAGTCAACTATCAATGAAATTTCATTTTTTTCTAACAGTGTAGTGAAAAAATTCAATGTTGAAAATGTATTTGGTAGATAGAAATGAAATTTTATTCCCGTTGAGGGATACTTCGCCCCGATTATGAGATTTATTGGGTTGCAAACATTTTTTCACTGCACATCGTAAATTTTATCTCGAAATTTTTTATGAAAACCTTTATGGAAATTCCTGCTGAAACTTTATGGCAGCGTAATAATTTTTAAATGGAAAATTTTATACGTTCACGCTATCAAAATCAATTTCATTCTGCAAAATCACACAAATTCCACATTTTCCAAAAAATTTAACATGAATATTCAGCGTTCGATGAAAGATATTGGTCTAGTATTGAAAAATTTTTCATAAGAAAAATATTGAAGTGTATCATTTCTCAAGAACAAATTTTATCGCGCGTACTGTCGCATTAAAATATCCTCAAGTATCGATTCAACGAAGCAGAGGAGATGCACTAGAGACGGAGAATCGATGAATTTCAGCTGCCATTGTCGGCGTGAGTTTGAAGGAACGACGATGGTCATGATGATGATAATGATGATAAAGGGACTGGGGAGAGAAGAATGCGAGGAACGAGAGCAAAAACATAGCTCCCAACGGGGAGACGGAGTTTCATCTCTATTACATTCACGAGTGTTTCGATGAGAATGGGAAACTGAGAGATTCAGTTCGGAGTGAGAAAAAACTCGTGTAGAAACATTCGAGGGGAGAACAAGTGGAGAAATTGGATACAATTTATTTTCAAAATGTCTCAAAAACTGTACAATTTAAATGAATTCCTCAGTTTATTGTTTATAGAGAAAAATGAAAGGCGCAGGAAACCCATCAAATTTCAAGTTTCACTGAAAATTCTGTGAAATTCTATATTTTCAACTAGCCGAAAGACGAGAATTCCTTCAATCAATTCAAAACTCAAGAATAAATTCATCGAAATTGTTCCTAATTTTTATTAAATTTCATGGAAAAACAGAACCAAAATTGATCACTTCAATCCATTTCTCCATCAAATAGTGAATAATAAATGACAAAATTCCTTAAGTCTCCCGGAAATTGTACCCAAAAATTTGCATGAGTCACTTCACTTTATTCCATTCTCACCCGAGGGAATAAAGTGAAGGGCACAGAAGGGCCGTAAAATTCTTGCAGTGAGGAAGAGACCTCGAGAGGAGGGCCCGGAAGAAAATCCTCGGGCTGAGCGTCCGTGGAATTAAATCGTCAATTACGCGAAGAAGGAGCGATTATAGGTTTAGTGCAGCATTCTCGAACGACCGATTCCCATAAATCCTCCACGGCCTTCTCGAATTCCTTCCTCCCCATCCTCACCCCTCTTTCCCTCATTTCTCCTCTTTCCCTCCAATCCAGCACAGCATACCTCCTCTATACCTCAACTTTTTCCTGAGCATCACCTGTTCCTTCCGTGTATTGCATATTTAAAATGCCCTCCAGTTTATTCTTTTCCCCTCCATTTCATTTTCGTTTGTAGTTTTGTGCAGTATTTTTTGCCAACGACATTAGACAACCGATTTTCCGTTCTGCATCACACAACTTGGAGTAGCTGCGTCATTATCATCTTATGCATAGTAGTTTGAGTTGAGTGGCCCCCGGAAGAAGGGAAAGCGTATTGTCAGAATGTATACGGAGCCTTTGCACTCCATTACTGTACTCTTTCCGCATCGTTTACGTCGTGAATTAGCTGTGGGGGGAGGGGGGGGGGAGAAATTATTTTTTCTCTCCCTTTGATTGGTCCAGAGACCTTTGGTATTCCATGCTGGTATCTTTGAGGAATGTTTCAGTCGTGGTTGGGGAATATTTTCAATAGTTGGCATTCTTCAATGCATTCGAAATGTTGGAATGCCATCTTCTTGTTAAAAGGAAAATCTTTAAATAAAAAGTTCTATTGAAGAAAATGAAAATATTCTCATTCATTGCAATTGATTTTTTTTTATAGATCAAATTAGTGTGAAATCATTGGAATGCTGAAATCAATCCATTAGTTTTTTAATTTTAATCTCCCCTAATAATCAAAATCGACTTGAATCGTTCTACCGCTTCGCTACTCAATTCATTCCTCTCTTGAAGTGGTACATGCAATCTTTTCTAATTATGAAATCATCTCAAGAGCGACTGATTCTAGGACAGAATGTTGAGAGATAATGTTCGAAGTTGAAAATGTTTCCTATAAAAAGCGTTTTCTGACAATTAGTCTGTAAACCACTAATAGCTGAGATTATTTCATCATTACATACCTCAATGATTATCCACTAACCGACTAATGATACCTTTCATTTAATTCAATTAATCATCGTCAATTATTATTCATCAGCCCTTAAGTGGTCGCAACTCTCCAGCACCGAACGTAGTTGGTCGCACGGTAAGAGAATCCCACCCCATGTATTTTACGATTTCAAGAAAAAAAAGTGGGAAAAAAATGTATTCCTTGTTTATGGGGAATTTTGAACCTTCAATTAATAGGAAACGGGAGTATAAAAGCGAAAAAATTGTTAGATAAGTGAAAAACTCGGTTTCATTGGGTGCAAAATTTTGAAATTTCAATGTTAGACACGAGGATTTTCAGCGATTTGGATTTTCAGAAGATTTTCATAATTTATTGGTGTAAGTCCGGATCGAAAAAAAATTGTTAATGTGTACGATATATTTGAAAGTAGAAAGACAAATTTTTATGTATTTGTCACTCACGAAATTTTTGTGTGAAAATAAAAAATTGAAGAATGGCGGGAATTCCCTCATTATGCGACCACTTAAGAGCTAATTTAATTATTTGATGGCTGTAACGTTATAAGCACGAACAACGTATTTTCTACTCTGACCTACACAAGATAGAATGATTCTAGGACAACGTGTCAACCGATTTTTCAAAAGAAAATTAAATCTTGCATCCGAAATATCTGTCAGTGGAGAATGAAATAAAATGAAACTAAAAATCTCAAATTATAATAAAATAAATAAATAAATTCCACTAAAAGTTCAATGAATTTCGAATTTCTGAGCTGCAGGAATTTTCATGATTTATATTAATTTCCATGGAGCATTCAAAATGAGATTGATAGTTTGCAGTGATTTATTCGTCAAATTGTGAACTTTAAATTACGAAATTCCTTGTCACTTTAGCACGAGAAATTGCATTAATTCCATCCTCCAAAAATTCATTTAGTGCCCCCCCCCCCGCAATGTAACATATAAAACTTCATACAAAGTATAATCCTCGATGCCATGCACTCACATTCCTCCGTGCATTCTAAGACATATCCAGCGGTATGCATAAAATGCAATGCATTCACACTCCGTGATAAATTGCCATCCCCGGGGAATAAAAACCCGAGAGAATAAAAAAAGTCGTAATAAGAATGAGAGAAATGAAGAATCAGCACGACTCGTCACGCAATCGTCGCAGCGCTCAGTACGCACTCCCTTCAGTAATAAAATCGTTATAAGAAGCATTGTATCATCGTACCCTCGTCTCCCACCAACCGTGACTATCCTCGCCCGGCAATCTCTTCACCCGGCGCTCGTTTAGACACGTCGTTACGTCGTGCTGCCTCCCAACTTCTTCTGCGCCCCCCCCCCTCGACCCTTCTATTTCTTATCAAACACAGTCCACACGGTTATACAAATACCACTAATGGGTAGGAGCGGGGAGAGTCAAGTTTGTAAGTATGTTTAACAAGAAAAAGAAGACCGGGAGTTTGACTTTCACTCTCGGTACATCGATGACCGGATTCCAAAACGGAAGCCAAACCCTCACAACTGGCTCTCAGCACGTCCCAACTTACTGAGGATGTTGCGATAGGAAGAATACCGTGAATAACGAGCCGAAATCAGATTTTACTTTAATTTCCTAATTCCTCTGGCTAGCGAATTTATGATGTCCAATTATTCCCGTAAAAATTATGCATTTTTGTGCTATTTTTTCTGCATTGCGGTTGTGGGATTGACAGTGATGAATTTATTTGGGGAGAATAAAGCGATGTGTTGAAGTTTATCGTTCGTAAATTAATTTTCAGGACGGTACATTGCCCTTGCGACCCCGTACATTTCCAAGCAAAATTAGAAAATGTACAAAATCGAACGATTGCAATGCTTCTATGCGGAAGAAAAAACGTCATTTCTTTGATTGTAAATTATAAATAAATGACAAAAAAAAATCGTCTTCAACACCGTCAAGTCCTTTCAAACCCGTACATCTTTCGATCTATGCTACATCGACAAATCTGGTCAGGTAGATGTCACGGTGAGTTTGCTAGCACTTCTGTTATGTGCACCAAGCCTCAGATATTTCCGAATAGGAACCTGATTGTATTCAGAACCGTCAAGACCTTGCGATACCACACTGGTGTCATTCATCCGAAGATAGGAACGACAAGTGCACTTTCGTCACTCTGTGATACACCGAAAAATCTTGACATGTTCATGACTACGAGCCTAATGAGAGACGCATCAGTGACCTGCAGCATTAATGAACTCATCATGGAGTATGATTAAATGGTTAAACAAGCAGGGGGCAGCGAGCATGTGGCAGTGAACATCGCACTCATTAATTTTTTTCAATACTTTCTTTGCCATCAATAAACTGATAGTGGGTTTCTGAATGGTTTTTAGCGGAATAAAATTTCATTTCAACTTGATATTTCGATTTTTGCGTTTGCTAGAGACCGAACAACGATTCCGAGGTAAAGCAAGGAGAAACCTTACGATACTTACCATTTTCCACAAACAAAAACATTAATCCCGCTCAGATTGAATATCCACAATGCCACACAAAAATCCTGCCTAATGATTGAAAAACTATGCTTTTTCAGGCAAGTTTCAAAGTGTTTTAACAAATATAATACGTTCTATCCCTGTGATGAGCACCCATATGCTGTAGGGTCTACAGGAAAATATTAAACTTTTCGATGGAATCGTTTATTACAAAAAGGTGAATATCTCCGAAACCATTGGATGGATCGCGCCCATCCGAAAGACAAACCGTCAATATTACACTTTGACTACATGAAAAAATTCACACAATTTTTTCCCACCAAGGCTAATTATTCTCATCTTAACACAACAAGGATAAAAAAAAATAATTTCAAAAAATCACAATCAATTCATCCACGTTTGACGAATTACTCAACCACCACAGAATAATTCCTCCACTAACTCACCCTCCTCTCATCTAATTTCAGATATCGAGGCAGAGTGTCAGGACGACTACATGAAGATAAGAATCGGCTTCAATGGCTCCTTCGCGGGTCTATTATACTCAGCGGGTAAGAACATCACAAACCCGAGTCCGATCAAGTCTCCCAACAATGCCCACCACAAACCCCCATTGCCAATACCGACTCAATAAAACTTGAAGCTCATTCCCATTGTTTATTCCCCCGATACAAGTCAAGTCATCTTCATAATTGTGCGAATAAAATTAGATTAGTTGTAATCTCAAGGTGAAATCTGGGTACATGTACAAGCACAAAGTACATGTGCAAGTACAAGAGATGTTGGATGAACAATAATGGAAAAATACATAATGCAAAAAATATTCAGAGCCTCACTCGCTCGTGGATAGCTAGTGCTCGTTGGTGCGAAACAAAACACTCCTCCATTCGAGATTGAGACCACTGTTGTNGGGGGGGGGGGGGGGGGGGGGGGGGGGGGGGGGGGGGGGGGGGGGGGGGGGGGGGGGGGGGGGGGGGGGGGGGGGGGGGGGGGGGGGGGGGGGGGGGGGGGGGGGGGGGGGGGGGGGGGGGGGGGGGGGGGGGGGGGGGGGGGGGGGGGGGGGGGGGGGGGGGGGGGGGGGGGGGGGGGGGGGGGGGGGGGGGGGGGGGGGGGGGGGGGGGGGGGGGGGGGGGGGGGGGGGGGGGGGGGGGGGGGGGGGGGGGGGGGGGGGGGGGGGGGGGGGGGGGGGGGGGGGGGGGGGGGGGGGGGGGGGGGGGGGGGGGGGGGGGGGGGGGGGGGGGGGGGGGTGACCGTTGAACAACAAGAATCGATATCGATCTATCCCATGCGCATCGAATCGTCGAGCGTGCTGAGACAATCGCTCTTAATTACAGGCTACTCTTACGATCCTGACTGCATGTACGTCAATGGTACTGGCCGGGATTACTACGAGTTTTACATTCAGTTGAATCGTTGCGGCACCCTTGGCGAGAACACCCACCATCAGGACAGCAGAAAGAATCCAACGGTCAGTGGTTGATGCATTTCTTTTTTCTCTTCAATTTTTTTTATTCACCAGTTTATCATTTGAAAAAAAAAAAACAAATTTATATTTCTCGTGTTTTCCTTCATGTTACCCTCAATCATTTATCTGCCTTTGCCATTCTCCTCATCATCCATCATTTGTTATGATTCTATGAACGGATTTTAAGTCTTAGTAATTGTAGAGTACGGGATGAATGTTGGTGGAGATGTTGGTGTACATAAATGATGATTAACGTTTTGCATTTTCGTTGCAGAAGAATCTCATGTGGAATACTGTTACTGTGCAGTATAATCCGCTTATTGAGGAGGAGTTTGATGAGCATTTCAAAGTTACGTGCGAGTACGGATATGACTTCTGGAAGACTGTGACTTTTCCCTTTCTCGACGTCGAGTGAGTTATTTTATGAGTTTTTGGGGTGGGGCGGGGGAGGAAGTGGTAAAACGTGGTGAGTCGACTCGCCCAGTCCGATGAAACGAATTATTTCGATAGGGAAAAGCCGGGAAATGTAATGTCAGTGGATACGTTTTGTATGAATTTTTGTGAACTACAAAAAAATATTTCCCATGACTATTTTTCGTGTAAGTGACCATGAGGCGAGTTCTTTTATGATCTGATGAGGGGAAGACTGAACCATACCCTTGTGGAGATTTGAACCCTAGTATTTTGCGTGCCAGGAAAGCACTGCCACAAATTGGCCACCACGAGGTACTCGATTTCAATTCATCTGAGGAGGTTTATGAATAATTTAGTCATTTTTTTATGACGATTGCCATAAGTTAGTAAGGATTCAGGGAAGGTTTATTCCTTAATCATGTTTTCATCGAGTTTCCTGGTTCGATCAGACGTCATGTAAAATGCCGAAAGGTTTTTTTTCAAGATTTCCTAAACTACAAAAAATGTTTCTCGGTCTTAGCGATTAACATAGTTTTTTCAATTCTCAGCAACAAACGGTACAAAAGCTGAAACTTTACGAAAAACAACTGTCATGTCGGGATTAGAACCCATGCCTCCTGCATGTCCCCCAAAGACTGCAACCAATAGACCACTATATACACCTCAATCTCCAGTCAATTGAACCCGCAAATGAATAAACCTTTCATTCTTCATTCCCACACGATAAATCTAGACTCCTCTGTTAATATGAAAATAAATAATTGATGATATGAGCCTCCCTGTTGGAAATCTGAGGTTGAGAGAAATTAATCAAGAGACTATTCCATTAGAAATTTGCTCCACTACAAAAAAACGTCACTTGAAAATCTCCTCTGAACTGAGGTCGAAAGAAGAAGTACAAAGTCGCAGACAAAATCATGTTTTACCACTTCAATTCATAAAATATGAATATCGAATTTATCACTTCCTATGGAAAGGGCAATAATCATCACAATATTCCGTAGTTTCGGTAGACTATTCCATCAGAATATTTGCTCCACTACGAAAAACGTAACTTAAAATTCTCGAAAGAAGAAGTACAAAGTCGCAGACAAAATCATGTTTTACCACTTCAATTCATAAAATATGAATATCGAATTTATCACTTCCTATGGAAAGGGCAATAATCATCACAATATTCCGTAGTTTCGGTAGACTATTCCATCAGAATATTTGCTCCACTACGAAAAACGTAACTTAAAATTCTCGAAAGAAGAAGTACAAAGTCGCAGACAAAATCATGTTTTACCACTTCAATTCATAAAATATGAATATCGAATTTATCACTTCCTATGGAAAGGGCAATAATCATCACAATATTCCGTAGTTTCGGTAGACTATTCCATCAGAATATTTGCTCCACTACGAAAAACGTAACTTAAAATTCTCGAAAGAAGAAGTACAAAGTCGCAGACAAAATCATGTTTTACCACTTCAATTCATAAAATATGAATATCGAATTTATCACTTCCTATGGAAAGGGCAATAATCATCACAATATTCCGTAGTTTCGGTAGACTATTCCATCAGAATATTTGCTCCACTACAAAAAACGTAACTTGAAATTCTCCTCTGCACTGAGGTTTAAAGGAAAAACGCAACGTCGCAGACAAAATCGTGTTTTACCACTTCAATTCATAAAATATAAATATCGAATTTTTCACTTCCTACGGAACGGGCAATAATCGTCATAATATTGCAGGGTTGCGACGGGAAACCCAGTAGTATTTACCCTTCAGCCCCCCGAATGCTACATGGAGATAAGATACGGGTACGGAACAACCGGAACTCGAGTTGCGGGACCTGTCAGGGTTGGGGACCCACTGACACTCATCATCTACATGAGGAGCAAATACGATGGTTTCGATATCGTCGTTAATGACTGCTACGCACATAACGGGGGAAACAAGAGAATTCAACTTATCGATCAGTATGGATGTCCCGTGGATGACAAGTTGATTAGCAGGTTCAGGGGTTCCTGGTCGGAGAGCGGATTGTTCGAGACGCAGGTCTTCGCTTACATGAAGACGTTCAGGTTCACGGGCTCGCCGGCGCTGTACATCGAGTGCGATGTGAGAATGTGTCATGGAAGGTGTCCGGTGAGTAATTACTCCTTGATTGATGATCATATGTGGAGGGATTAGCTCGGTAATGAGGGGTTGTAGAAACCATCAAGAGACATTTCCGATGGAAAAGTCTGTTCGCTTGAAAAATGTCTCTTGATGTAATTGAGTAATTTACGGGGTTTGATGTTTGAAGAGAATAGTTTTGGGAAAAATTCTGTAGCTCATCTGCACGTTTTTCCAGTAGAAATGTTCAATGAAAAATAATCTACAGAGAAAATCTGTAGAATTTCATTTTTATACCCAACTTATTGTATAGTTGAAATAATTCCTATTTGATGTTTTCTACAAAAAAATGGCAACAAAGATGTCGGATTTGCCAATAGAATCAGCCCAAATTAATAGAATGTTCAATGGAAGTTCAAGAGAGATTCAATAAAATTTTCTGTCCAATTCGCTCGGTAACGATTTTTTTTGCGTTTCAACCTCATAACTAATGGCACACATGAATGTCTTTTCGCTTTACAGAGTCAACCCTGTCACTGGAGAAATTCCAAGAACGTTGCCAAAAGATCGTTGGCCCTCGCTGGTCCTACGACTCCGGCAACGAGCTTATCAGAGAATGTTAATCTATTCCAGTCACTGCGGGTGCTTCAAGAGGGCGAGGCAGAACCTGAAATCTTCCAGAATTCAACGGCCTCGTTGCACAATGGTAAATAAAAATTCTTCCTGAATTTCTTAGAATTATCAAGTGTATTTTAAAAAATCTCTCGTAAAATATTGAATGATTTTTTAGGCTGCAATTAGAACAGATTTTTTAGGCTGCAATTAGTATTCAATTTTCTATTTCAGAATATCTCTAAATGCCTATTTTCTCTCTAAAATAGCTTGCAATTAACATAGTTTAGAATTGAGAGAGAAAAATAAGAGGAATAACGATAGAAGAATGAAATGCCTGTAGATAATTTAATCAAGACAATGCAATGACTCTTCCATGTGATTATATTTCTCCACATCCCGTTCGATCATTCCCTCGCCCCAATGATCTCCACCTTATTTATTTCATCAATTTATTTCAGGGCCTAGTGAAGCACCCCCTGGCGATAGAGTCTGCCTCCGATCAACGGTAGTCAGTACAATAGTCGGCCTGGGCTGCGCCTTAATCTGCATAATGATTGGTACCCTCCTCGCCCTCTGCTCGCGAATACGACGCGCAGCGAGAGAAAAATTACTGAGCGATAGTCTGAGCTACATGACTCACAAAGGTCGAATTAATTAACTTCCCGATAAGCCTAAAATAAGACGAAATAATAATTTCAACGGAATAATTCACCACTGAGTGAGTGAGGAATTCCATCTTGATCAAGATCTTCACTAAATTATATTTTTTACGAGTGAAAATAAAGAAAATAAATCTAGACACGAGTGTAGAAACAGAGATGCGAACAAGTGACCTGTGTAAATAGCAGGCACTGGATCAACTCCGCGTCCGGTTTACACGCAATGAGAAAACACTAATTACGAATATTTAATTAAGGGTTCTCTGCTTTACGAGAGTTTGCCATTTACTTGGATTTGTCTTCATTTCCAAGCCAATGGCCCTTCGAAGGATCTACCGACTCACTTGATATGCAATCGAAGGCAATCAATGTTCAATTAACGGAATAGGAAAAATCGTGGATAATAAAGAGAAGAATTCAATAGCCATGTTTTCGATTGATATATCTGAATCTAATGGAAATGTACTGTTAACAATTTTTGGCTGGAATTGCCGGTATACTTCTTGGAAATTTTTGTCGCACTATAGTTTGACTCGAATTTCAAGGAATTTCAGTTCAGTTATTCTATGAAAATCAGTAGAAATTGGGAAAATATTCTTGAATTTTTAATTCGCACAGGAACAAAATTCATAGAAAAATCCTGCGAATTCGATAGAAAATTCTGTGAAATTTCTATTGGAAATTCTATTAGCGTTTTTTTGCTCGCGTTTTTCTATTCTATAGAAGAAAAATCATTCTATTGAGACATTTTTTATAAGAATTCCTCGGCCTGAATTTTCCAAATGTTTTCCGCTCTATTTTTTTGTTTCTCTTTTCATTGAAAAAAACAAACAAAACAAACATAAAATATCTCAATAGAATAAGTTGTATAGACAAATGAAATTCTATTGACTTTTTCTCTATAGAATATTTTCCATTGGACACCTCTATTGAAAAAAAACACACGGAATTTTTCAGCAGATTCGGCCGAAATCCAATGAAATTTTCTATCGAGTTCTGTAGCATTCCTGCTGCTGAGAAATTTGGAATTTCACGTTTTTCTCCCTCGAAATATAATTCAACGTAACTCTCCTAAAATTTACTAGTCAACTCTCCATGAAATTTCCATCTTTTTTTCCAACGGTGTAGCAGAATCCCCATGAGGACCTCCTTTGTAAGGAAAAAATATGAGCCACAAAACTGGTCTTTCTGATAATTCTGCAATAAATTTCTAGCAAAAAGCCTTCACTATTGAGTTTAATACACCTCACAATCAAATAGACTGGTTTGAGATTGCGAGTGACGTCGGTCAATAAACTATTAATTAAAATAATATAATATATAATGACACGTAGACATGCGATCCAGCAAGACTGCGAGATTGAAAACGAGAGAAAATAATTTAAGATGTGCCTTTTAAAAATTGATGAAAACATCAAATTCCGAACTACAAATTATTAATTATAGTTACTTTAAATGAACATTTATCCTCGAGTTTATCTGCATCATATCGATATCCATATGAACGCATAATACATTACAGTTATTATCATGCATTAACGAATCAATTGCAACGCCTCATTTTCATACAAAAAGGAACGAAGAATTGAAATAAAAAAAATGGAGTATTTAATAAGTGCCTCGACGTTTGAACACGGCCAGTGAGGATTAAGTAATATTTCGAGTGAAAGCTCACACGAGACAGGAGTTACGCCCAACGATTTAGGCTTACTCTTTATTACTGCGAAGTGCGGAAAGCCAAGGAATGGAACATAATTATTACTGACAGAGGGAAATTGATGATCCTGTGACAACTGTGCTCTTGTGAAAATGAATAATATTAATTTCCCCTCCTGGCTGTTCCGGGGTTTAAGGAAATTCATGATTTCATCGTTTTTTCACGAGCTTTTTTACCTCGGTTACAAATTATTGTACATATAGAGTTATTGGCGAACAATTTTAATTGATTAGGTTGTATTTTTTAAGTAATGTAATCAATGTATGAGTTTAATTACAGCATGAGTGTATCAATAATGATTTTCAATAAAGTAGAATTGATACGAGAAAGGGAAAATTTATTCGCAGGAAGGGCTGGATGCATTAATACTTGTTGGAAATATATTTTACGATGGGATTTAAAGAGGGATGTCACAATTCTCTTTGCAGGATATTTAAGGGACTAGAAAATAGATCGAATATTCATCGATAAATCTGCGAAATTTAAAGTTTTGGAATTAAAGAGCCGGAGAATGGTCAACATATTTTTCAAATCAACGAAAAAATTGTTGAACTTAGCTTAGTCGATCTAGAGATATCGACGATTGACAACTGTCAACTTTCTAGTGTAGAAATTTAGTGACTCACCAGGAGTTGAAATTCTCATCAAGATCTCTAGATGTTCCCGAATGCCTCTAACTCGTCTCCGTGATGATCACTTGCACCAAAAATTTTCGAAATACCGCACAAACGTGACTGAATCCGCCATCTTACGTATTTACACACACGTCGACAAAGAAATTACCGAGAGCACTCATTACTTGATCAATAACAGAAAAATAACTCCATCACAATTCACAACACTAAATTCACTAAATTCACAACCAATAAAATCCTGTTTCCACTATTTACACTGATCAACTTGTCTTATGGCATTATTAATTATTTATTTAAAGAGTCATTGGCATTGGATTTATCATCCAGAATCACCTGCAGGCGTCATCTCCTGGCGTCACAAGAAAGTCGGTTACATAGGCTCCGAATTTTCAGCATTCGAAGTGTTTATATTGTTTGAAAACTCGTAATTCATCGAAATAGTTGAAGTATTGCATCGGAAAATTATGTCTGTCCGTCATTGATAGATAATTATCGCATCGTTATTAATTATTTTGATGACTTTACCACTAATTTCTTCGAAAATACTCCAGCCGACGCCGGACACGTCCCATCGGGGCAGCCATTTTGAATGTGCGCAGAGATGTTGCGTAGAGGTTTTCATTGTCTTATTAACTTTTTTGTTTTTACCTTTATAGCACTCGTGATTCATCGGGATAGGGGTAGATTTCATTATAAAATGATTGTTGCCCCTTGTTATCAACTATTACTGCCATTTTTATAATTATTTTGATGATTTTAGCCTTGATTTTTGGATAAAATCGGGAGACGAACGCCAAAGACGCGAGACCTGTTGGCCATTTTGGATGTGCGCGGAGATGTTGCGCAGTGGTTGTTCCCATGCCTCATGGGCCATTTTTATTTTTGTTTTACTAGACCTGTGCGCGCGCTTTTCTATTCGTTGTTAAAATGACGAAATCGAATTTATTGAACTTCATATACTCATAGATGTTTTATAAATATTGATGATGACTTGAAGAGAATTAAGAATTAAGAGAATTAGTGCTTATATTGTTTGAAAACTCGTAATTCATCGAAATAGTTGAAGTATTGCATCCGAAAATTATATCTGTCCGTCATTGATAGATAATTATCGCATCGTTATTAATTATTTTGATGACTACCACTAATTTCTTCGAAAATACTCCAGCCGACGCCGGACACGTCCCATCGGGGCAGCCATTTTGAATGTGCGCAGAGATGTTGCGTAGAGGTTTTCATTGTCTTATTAACTTTTTTGTTTTTACCTTTATAGCACTCGTAATTCATCGGGATAGGGGTAGATTTCATTATAAAATGATTGTTGTCCCTTGTTATCAACTATTACTGATATTTTTTATAATTATTTTGATGATTTGAGCCTTGATTTTTGGATAACATCGGGAGACGAACGCCAAAGACGCGAGGCCTGTTGGCCATTTTGGATGTGCGCGGAGATGTTGCGCAGTGGTTGTTCCCATGCCTCATGGGTCATTTTTATTTTTGTTTTACTAGACCTGTGCGCGCGCTTTTCTATTCGTTGTTAAAATGACGAAATCGAATTTATTAAACTTCATATACTCATAGATGTTTTATAAATACTGATAATGACTTAAAGAGAATTAAAAGAATGAAGAGTGATGAAACATCAATGAATAATTTTTAATCTTCGATTAATTCGTTTTTTTTCACTTTTTAAAATAATCTGATTAAAATCTATAATTGTTAAAAAAATGAGCGGGGGGTTATGAATTGATTTCCTAGAAAACTGAAAAAATTTCTTGAATTCTTCGGAAAATTTCAGTTTTCCAGATAACCGTACGTCTTCAAAAATGTTTCTCGAATTATTTTGGAAACCGAAGAATTTTCATGAATTTTGTAGAGTTTAAAATTTATTTATGAAAATCTGAGAAGCAAAAATTGATCATTTTTGCGGATAAATATGAAAAAATTAAAATTTGGGAAGTGAAGAATAATTTGTGGGTTAAAAAAATTTAGAAACACTTCACGTTTCTTCCATCTTTGGTAAATAGGAAACACTCGTAATATATAATAGTTATTATATAATAATTCCACTAGAGAACTTATCTAAAATCATGAAAATTTTTCAAACCACTCTACATAATTTCCAATCAAAATTAGAAAATGTGAAAATCGAACGATTACAAAGCTTCCAATCGGAAGCGAAAATAGAATTTATTTGACAAAACAAATGAACAAATTTTCACTAACAAATTCATAATCACAATTTACTGACTCTGGACTTCACGTGAACGGTCTCCAGTGGGAGAGGATTGAGGTGGCCATCCTTGGAGTCAATATTCTCAGAGACGACACGTTTCACTTCGATATCGTATTGCTCGAGGCGGTTTTTGCATTCTGAAGTACTGCGAAATTCAGCAATCGTCATGTTAGTGAAGTCGAGATCCTGAGCTTCCGAGAAATTGGGGTCTTTTGGGTACATGGAATCTCCAGGGAGGAGGAAGACCATTCCGTCTGACAACTTAGCTTTGACCTATAATGGGACATTTATATTTACTCAGCTACAGGATTAGGGGAGAATGGGGCAAAATGGACACATTTCACTTCATGATTTTTTTCTTCTCATGATGAGTCAATTAATTTCAATTGATAAATTTATTTCTGAGTTATAAACATTTTAAAAAAATCAAAAGTATCCACCTTGCCCCCCCCCCCTTCTATTTATTCCAGTATGAATGATCGTGAGTAATCCTTTCAGTTGATGATAAAAGAACTGTTTACTCACTGCACAAATCAAGTGACTTCCAATTTTACTTCTTTCCACAGCGAAATCCAGTAAATTATCTATCGATTCGAATTTCGCTATTCTACCAATCTCGTAATGCTGTGGAGGGGCGAGGGAAATTGTTGCTGTGGGGTTTATCAAATCCCTTGGCAGATCCCACTGAGAAAACAAAAGAAAAATAGGTAAAAAATAGACAAAAAAATTGTTAAGGAGTTAATTGAATATTCATTTTACTCCCTAGAATAAAATTATTTTATTACCCTCAACTCCTCAACTTCTGAAGGTTCACACTGAGTATCTGGTTCTGAGGGCATGCAGGCGAGGAAGAAGATCGTGTCGAATCTCCTTCCTGAGATGAATGGCGGGGTCAGCCAGTTGCTCCACTCGTGAAGGGACCAGACGTCTGGGAAACAGTGGAGACCCTCGCACATTTTGTAGAACTCACTTGCTTCATTGTGGACGCGTTCCTGCCAGCTCTTCTTCTCAACTTTGTCAACTGGAAATAATATTCACGGTATTCAATTATTCAACAGCAATCAAATTGTTTTTAGTTTATTATTCCCCTAATAGTTTTAAAATCATCTTTGAAATGATTAGATTTAGATGAATTCATAAAAATATCATTCGTGTGATAAATTTCATTTTTTTTTTCATTTTTTTCAGATGAAAAATTGATGTTTTTGTTTGATTAATTGATATTTTCGAATTGATCAGTTCCATGAAAAACTTCAGGATTTAAGAATTAAAATGTCGTCTGGTGATGAATCTTCATCTGATCGAATTCGTAAAATATTTGTAAACGCTGCTTCATTACGAGAATTCAGAGAACAATTTTTGGATTATTTACATTCAAAACTCTCAGCCCAGTCGGACCAAATTCCCTTCTTCCTAGACTGCCTGCAGAGAAGCACTCCGCACTCCTCAAAGGTCTCTCGAATAGCGCTTATTCTCAGTGAGACCTCCCTGGGTAACTCATTCCTCCTGGATTTAAAAATCGGGGGTCTAGTCGTTGCCCTAGGAAGCAGAGACGAAAAGCTCGTCAAATCAAATCCAAATCTTGAGTAGAGGTTCTGCCATCGCAGATCAGCGTCAGCGGGGTCAACAGTGCCACCGGGAAATACGTGATGTCCTGGCATAAATGACGCATTCTTCTGACGTTTCAGTCCAAGTAATTTGTAATCGTACTGAAACTAATGACGTGAAATGATTATTTTTTAATTTTAGTACATGGGTTCACTGAAAAAAATTGAAATTTCGCGGACACTTGAGAAGAATGATTTCACTGAAGATTTAATAAAATTACTTGAATTTTCAATCAAAAGATGAACATTCAGTGCCAAATAACAATGACTCTTCAATTATCTAAAAATGCAAGAATATATTTACCTGAATTTTCCACTTTTCTCCATTCTTTCATTTTCATGGAATAATTAAACTGAAATTTACAGTTTCTATTCATTTTTCCTCAAAAATTTTGCCGGAACTATGTGATAAAAATTTCCAAGAAGAATGGATACTTTTGACATTTTTTAAGACATTCGTAGCTTAATGCCTAATTTATCTGCCAGTTCGATCTACTCTTTATGGGAACGCACTTATTCCATTTCACTTGAAATACAATGGCTCAAAACCGTTTTAAAAAAAATTCAGTGTCAATTTTGCCCAAAACTTTTTAAACAGTGTACTCACAACAGCCGAAGTCACCGCTTGATTGATCTTCTGCTGCTGCCTGGCAGCGAGAATAACCGTAGCTGCATCCCTCCAAGGTTTCATCATGATGACAATCACTGATAATTGATGAAAATTCCTCTCGTGTGAGTGAAAAACTAATTCGCGATCTACTGATCGTCTTTTCATCGATAAAAAACTAGGTTAAGTTCCGCGAACAATAAACAAACGGAACACACGAGCCAAAACAATTGCGTGGCGCACTATCTGGCCTTCAATTATTTAATAAATTTATTGAAAAAGTAAATCGAAGCACACACTTTACATTACAATCTCAAACTAGATCGACTGTTCTGTCATCAACTTTTTTCCCCCTCCGGCTTGTCAGTGGCGGCAATCATGAGTTCGTACAACTGATAAACCTGCTCGTCCCTGAGTTTGTCCAGGTCCTCGACGGCTAGAGCTCTTCCGAGGGGTTTCGATGTTAGTGGGCCCCGCAAACCGAGTTGTTCAGCTAATCCGATTGCATAATCCTTGAAAGAATTGAACGAGGGATTTCAAGAAAATAAATGTACTAAATTCTTAAATTTTTGGAGGATTTTTTTGCAGAGAAAGGGGCAATCGCGACAGAGAGAGGGTTAATTATCCCTAATAATTAACATGAGGATTCACACACGAAAAAACTTCATGGAAAAACCTGCTGAATTGGGTAGAACATTCTACTGGATTTCTATTGAAGATTCCATCAGTTTTCGGCCGATTCCATTGAAAGATTTTTTATAAAAAATGTCCAATGGAAACTATTATATTAAAAAAATCAGTAAGATCTCATCTTGCTATACAATTGTTTCCACTGAGACATTTTCTACAGGAATTCCTCGAAATAACTTTTCCAAGTGTTTCCACTCCATTTTTCTTCTGTTTCCATAAAAAATTCAAACAAAATCGTGAAAAATTTGAGGCCAGGAATTTCTGTAGAAAATATTTCTATAGAATAAGTAAGTTGGATAAAAAAATTGAATTCTCTTGAACTCTGGGATATTTCTGGAAAACTTATTTCATTTCGAACAGAAGACACTTTTATTTCGAAAATAATTTTTGGAGAATACCTCTGCATGCCAGAGAGATCCTCTACCAATTGAAAAGGAATAAAAAACTGTCTCTAAATCCCCAAGAACCTCTTTAATAAGGGAACATCCTCCCAAAAATTCTCTATCACCTCTAGCTAGACCTAGGTCCTCAAAAACTTATCAAAGAACGATCTCAATATGACATCAACCTATATATTCATTTCACCCTTCATTACCCCTCCCCCCAACGCAAAGAATAAAAAAAATTCTACTCACAGCCCACTCATGCATGAATACATTAGCCTCAGTAGGTCCACAAGTCTTATGCCTGCGAAACTCATCACGCACGTAATTATTCCCCAAAGTCTGCATGGCCTCCGGCAACCCCCTGTGCAGCTTCAGAATGGTTTTATACAATTTCCTCACTCTCTGCACATGCGAGTAATTCGACATTTCACGAGATATCCCCCAAGAACTCTCCCTGAAATTCCTCTCCTCAGTCTCTTCCCAAAACATCAATTCCTCTCATTTATTACTCATTCACTCTTCCCAAAAAAATAAATCATTTCTCGACATCTCCCGACCTTCAGGTGACTGAAAATAATAAACACTCGTAAAACATAACCAAAACCGTGTGATTGCGAACAAGAAACACGTGGAAACTGCTGAATGGGTGGAAACGCGTTGGAACTGAAACGTCACACAACCAGTCAAGATGGCACGTCAGCAGGGTGATGTTGACGAGTTGTTTGACGTTAAAAATCACTTCTACATCGGTAATTACCAGCAATGTATCAACGAGGCGCAGAAAGTGAAGGTAATAACCCCAAGCATAAATTAAAAATCAAAAACATCAGGAAAAAAACACAATAACCTCAAATTTAAGAGATCAAAAGGGCACATTTATGCTCAGGCTGCACTATGCCGCATTGCACATGCCACTCTCATTGTTCATTCAGCCCCAACGATCGTTAATTGATTGGCAAAAAGGCCTAATTACCGCCCATATTAATTGAAAACCGAAAAATCGAGGGAAATGCATAACCTCACTCTCACCAACGAGCGGCTCCACCCATGTCCAGCTGCATTATGCCGCATTGCACGTTACATTCTCATTGTTTATTCTGTTGCCTGACTTATTGTCCTCGGTACAATGTCTTTACGGAAATGTCTGACAAATTCACCACATTTACTTGGCTAAATCGACACTTCAGACATTTTTTTAATATTCATATAATTCAGGAATTAAAGCGATCAATTGAGGTCATATTGGCCTCTCTAGAGGGAAAGAATAATACTCTTTAAAGAACAGAAATTATACTGGTTCATCAGCAATTGAATAAGGGTTTTTAATGGAATTCTGGATAAATTTTACAGTTTTTGGACAAATGGAGCTTTTCATTCTGAAAATCTGGGGAAAATATCCATATTTCGTTCATCGAACGAAAAAATAAGGAAATATTCTGATGAATATTGACATTTAAAACGATATCGTAGCGAAGTAAAAGGGTTCAAGTCGATTTTGACTATTGGCCTACTGACTTTTATAGAGGAATTATATATTAAGATGGGAAATGAGCGTCCAAAAATCTAGCAACTGTCAGCATGAAAAGGTCTATTATTCTTTCTTTTGGAAAACTCACCATTCGTCTCGCATTTTTTTAAAAGACCAAGTCTTTTTCACTAAATAAAAGTGACCTAGTCTTTTTCAGTTCTCTAGTCTTCAGTTCTTTCTAGAACTGAAGTTCGCTCTTCGATTACTCGATTTCTTTGGTAATTTTTTCCCACCTTTTTTCTCCGTTTAAGAAACGAACTGAAAAGTCGAATAATCTTTAACATTCCGTTGGCCGCACTTTTTCCGTTTTTTTAAATTTACATTTCACTAAAGCCTCAGAAAAATTTGAAAAAATTTTCAAATCTTATTTCACATTTCATTTTGAAGAAGTGTCTACAAGCCCTATCAATGAAAATATCCGCCAAAAATGTCATAAATAGTTGAATTTTCAAATTGTTATTCCGAAACTCCGGGCCTTATCCGTGTATAAGACGAATTTTCAGAAAAAGACGACAACTTTGAGTTTTAATATATAATTAAGGGTAACACTGAACATTAAAAATCTCACGGGACTTCTTCAAGTGTACGATCTAGATCACTCTTGATTTTTCCAGATTTTTCTTACTATTCGATCTTTCAAATTTATTGTTGAATTTCTGGTTGAAACAATACAAGACAAAAATTAATCTTATATTTTTCTCTCTATGTTTCTACACGCGTATGAAGAATATTGTTATGGGCGAAAATTCTGACTAGTGTGGGCTGTGATGTTTATGCTTTTGGTTTTTGGGTCTAAACAGAGTTGAATGAATAGGAGCTACTATGTCCACGTCACCAGAGGCCCAGGGCGTTTGTCATTTTTAGTTCCTCAGAGGAATTGGCGAAGAGCGGATGTGTCTTCCGAGCGTATTAAGTCAAGTCTAGTTAATACCGCTTTTTTAATTATTTACCGGTTTGGTTATTTAAATTATCCCATTTCCAATATTTATCATTATGTCGATTTATTCTGGGCGATTTCTATCGCATTTATATCAGCGCATCAAATTTTGCGCAACCAACGGAGTGTTAAAATCAACATAGAAAATACAGCCGGGAAGATATCCGGCCGAAGATATCTTCCTATAGATGATGTCCCGGAAATTGTGCTGGTGATAATAGGTCGCAGAAGCATTTAGTCACCCCCAATAATCAATAATTAATCAACAAACAGCCCTCGTCGTCGGACGTGGCCCTGGAGAGGGATGTTTTCCTTTACCGTGCGTACATAGCCCAGAGGAAATTTCGAGTGGTCCTGGACGAGATAAACAACTCATCCCCCGCAGACCTCCAGCCTCTGAAACTCCTGGCCGAGTATTTCGCGAGCCCAGGGAAGCGAGATGCCATCCTCAACGAGTTGGACAAAAACTCGGGGAACTTCGGGGATAATCACAACGGAATGATCGTCGCTGCGACCATTTACTATCACGAGAAGAATCTCGAGTCGGCGTTGAGGGTGTTGCGTGGTGCTGAGAATCTCGAGTGCATGGCCCTCACTCTCCAGATTTATCTCAAGATGGATCGGCTGGATCTAGCCAGGAAGGAACTGAAGGCCATGCAGGAGAAGGATGATGATGCTACTTTGACTCAACTCGCTCAGGCCTGGGTTAACATCAACAGTGGGGGGGATAAACTGCAGGATGCCTATTACATCTTCCAGGTTAGTTGGAGGATGGGATTCTACAGTGGCTCTTGACATTTTTCTGTTGAGGCTTTCTATCATGAATCGTTTTTTTACGCAATGAAACAAAATGAACGTAATGAAATTCCAATTTCAATTGAAACTCAATGCAAATTCGATTTTTTGAGGAGATGGAAAACAGTAGTTCTCTGAATATATTTGCCTGAATTTTTCTGATGTAAATTAACTTTCGTTTTCATGTTTTTCATGGAATGATTGAACTGAAATTTCCAGTTTCCATTATTTTTTGAACAATTTTGAACTTTCAATTACGAAATTCTTCGAAATTTGTGTGGAACTAGAAATTTTTTTAATAGTATAAAAAACGATGTCGAAACTTTATTTTCTAGAAAATGTCATAAGCTACATTTGAAAGATTTTGAAAAATTAAAAATAATTTTAATTATCAAAGGATGTCAAGACTTCTTTTTCTAAAAAATGGGATTTCTCATTATCCAAATAATTTTGCAATTAGAAGCAATTTATAATGAAAACTTGGGAAAATTTATTTCTAAATTCTTTTCTGCAGTTTTCCAAGCGAAAATAATAATAATTCATCTTATTCATATCCCCCAGGAAATGATCGACAAACATTCAAGCACAAGTATGCTACTAAACGGCCAAGCAACGTGTTTCATTGGCCAAGCGAAATACGAAGAAGCAGAAACCGCCCTTCAAGAATCCCTCGACAAGGACAGCAACAATCCAGATACCCTGATCAATATGATAGTCCTGTCACAGCACATGGGAAAACCCCCAGAGGTTGCCAATCGCTACTTGAGTCAGCTGAAAGACTCGAATCTCGAACATCCATTCGTCAAGGAATATCTACAGAAGGAAATAGAATTCCAGAGGTTGAAGACTCAGTACTCCCCCTCAGCATAAATCCCCCCCCCCCCCCTTCTTCCCCCCATCGTCGATTTTCCGAAATCGAGAGAAACGAATAGAGTATGGAGCATTCCATTGAAATTACAACAGATCACAACAGTGTTGCTGCCATTTTGTAATTGAACATTTATAAGAGACTAATGAGTAATCGATTCACTCGGAATTTTTCCTAAACTTTTAGTACGTTTATCTCATTATATTATTAATTATATTGTATATTATAATTACAATTTCCAATAAAGAGGAGAGAGTATTCAATGAGTTGATGAGAATTCAGAATCAAAGTTCACTCGGCGAACAAAATCGATTTTGCCGAAAGCCGACTTTCCCAGTGAAAAAATTCAAGATTTGATGCTTTGGCCTAGGGTGAAGAAAAAATTTTTTTATTTCTGCACTTCTGTCGCCTCCGAGGGTTTCATTTGCATCAGACGGCCAATAAATACAGAATCCACGTTCACCCGGCTAAAAAATTCGAATTTGGCGAAAGTCGACTTTCCCTCTGACAAAATCCAAGATCTGACACTTTGGCCCCCGGTGAAAAATTTTTTTTTCAGTTTTCACTTTTTCCACATACTTTTGAGAGTTCTGGATAGCCCGTCGCTTAAATAGTTGGAATCAATGTTCACCCGGCTAAAAAATTCGAATTTGGCGAAAGTCGACTTTCCCTCTGACAAAATCCAAGATCTGACACTTTGGCCCCCGGTGAAAAATTTTTTTTTCAGTTTTCACTTTTTCCACATACTTTTGAGAGTTCTGACTAGCCCGTCGCTTAAATAGTTGGAATCAACGTTCACCCGGCTAAAAAATTCGATTTTGGCGAAAATCCACTTGCCCCGGAAAACCCGAAAATCTGACCCTTTGGCTGGGGCCAAAAAAAACGGTTTCTCAGTTTTCACTTTTTCCACATACTTTTGACAGTTCTGACTAGCCCGGCGCTTAAATAGTTGGAATCAACGTTCACCCGGCTAAAAAATTCGATTTTGGCGAAAATCCACTTGCCCCGGAAAACCCGAAAATCTGACCCTTTGGCTGGGGCCAAAAAAAACGGTTTCTCAGTTTTCACTTTTTCCACATACTTTTGACAGTTCTGACTAGCCCGGCGCTTAAATAGTTGGAATCAACGTTCACCCGGCTAAAAAATTCGATTTTGGCGAAAAATCCAAGATCTGACACTTTGACCCTTGTGACCCTTGGACCGACTTTCCCCCCGGAAAAATCCAAGATCCGACACTTTGGCCTCCGGTGAAAAAATTTTTTTTTCATTTTTCACTTTTTCCACATACTTTTGATAGTTCTGAATAGCCCGTCGCTTAAATAGTTGGAATCTACGTTCACCCGGCTGAAAAATTCGATTTTGGCGAAAGTCCACTTCCCCCCTGGAAAAACGGAAAATCTGATCCTTTGAAAATTTGAAAAAAAAAAACTTCTTCAGTTTTCACTTTTTCCACATACTTTTGAGAGTTCTGAATAGCCCGTCGCTTAAATAGTTGGAATCTACGTTCACCCGGCTGAAAAATTCGATTTTGGCGAAAGTCCACTTCCCCCCTGGAAAAACGGAAAATCTGATCCTTTGAAAATTTGAAAAAAAAAACTTTTTCAGTTTTGACTTTTTCCGCATACTTTTGAGAGTTCTGAATAGTTCGTCGCTTAAATAGTTGGAATCAACGTTCACCCGGCTAAAAAATTCGATTTTGGCGAAAGTCGACTTTCCCCCTGGAAAAATCCAAGATCTGACACTTTGGCCCTCGTGACCCTTGTGACCCTTTGATCGACTTTCCCCCTAAAAAAATCCAAGAATTCTAAAATGTCTCTTAGAACTTTCGTTTTTCCAAGAAGCAAATTTTGAATGAAAAAAATTCCCGCGCATTACAAATATTCAAAATTCTTCCGCTGAATCCCACGTGACTCTCCCCACTTCGTCCATCTTGGACATTCGGCCGTGGGAGTATCTCCGAATAATCTGCCGTAACTCGTGCTTCCTCAAATATTATGACAATCGTCAACAAACACTGACCTCTGACGTTGCCCTCTCGGTTCTCCCGTCAGCTGTTTCGACCCGTCACTCCATCCCAATAAAAATAAACTTTAGAAACGTTCGTTGAAAGCATCACAATCGGTTTCCCTCGAAAAATCCGCCAGTGAATGAAAACAAGTGAGAAAGTCGAAAATTTCACGTGATTTCTACTCTGTAAATTGAATTGTGAGGCCTTCACCCAGAAAATCCCTGGAACGAGCGTAAACAAACATAACCTAGAGGACTCACTACCCGTTCAATCCATTCCAAGTAAGCCAGAACCATTCAGTTCCTTCGATGTTCCTCAGATGTTTCTCCCATTAGCCTCATTTATCTCCAGAACCTCTGCAAGATTCCCATCCCCCAAACGCTCAGTCATGTCAGCCCAGATATCCCTGGACGAGCGAATGCTAAAGTCCGTTAGGAGGATTGTCCCATCCCTAGGTACCACGAAGTACAAGGGTCAGGATGGCAGGATAGGAATCGTCGGGGGGAGTACGGAGTACACAGGGGCTCCTTTCTTCGCTGGTGAGTAATAAATCCTGAACTGCACGTGCGAAAAATTTTCATAGAAATACCTAGGGAATTCGCCAAACAATTGAATTGGACTTTTATTGAACTTTCAATTAGTTCATCTTCGCGTTTTTTTCAGTGGAAATGTTCACTAGAAAATATTTTATAGATAAAATCAATGAAATTTAATTTTTATGTACAACTGGGGGATGACCAGGGTACAATCGCCACTCCATTTTTTTGAAATGCTAATGATTCATTGAATTTTAAGTAAAAGGGTATTTTTTTTTTTGGAAAACAAGGGTAAACAGGTCAACAAGGAGAATATTCTATAGATAAAATCAATGAAATTTGATTTTTATGTGCAAGTTGGGGGTGACCGGGGCACAATCGCCACTCTGTTTTTTTGGAATGCTAATGATTCATTGAATTTCAAGTGAAACGAAATTTTTTTTCTTGAAAAGTAAACAGGTCAATTTCTGGACGGAAGTTAATTTCTGAACGATTTCTACTTCCATTCGAATATTCCATAAATAATAACGTGAAAATTGTACTGATTATTTAATTTGTCAATAATATTATTCGTGTATAACCATTTTTTTATTAAGCAATTAGAAACCTACAAAGAAGGTTTATTAGCTATACTATTTATTAGCTATAATATGTAATTGCATTAGAAAAAATTGCCTAGAAAGATGAAATTCCGTCCGAGGAAGATTCAGTTGTTGCCGAGGGACTACTCACTTCCGAAATCTCAGGGTCACGTCAAATCACCGAAATCACTGAAATCAAGTGATTTCTTCTCTACGAAATCATTTTCGAAATCATCTCCGAAATCATGTCCGAAATCACGTGAAATCGTAGCCCACTAGCGTAATGCAAACGGTGCAAGTAATTCGTGATTATGAAATTAACACGCCTGCCAACGATAATAATAAATTGCCGTACTAACTGCCACCGTAAAACCGTCAAATCGATCGCTTTTCATCGTCATTAACTCAAAATTGGCGGAACGGAATTAAACGAATTCGTTATTTCGCCAGTTATTATTGCCAATTTTGATTTTCATAATTTGACAGAACCCCTTTTGCCCCACCTCTATTATTTATCAACTTTATGTTTTCTAACTCTACTATTTATTCTCTATTATTTATCAGCTTTATTTTTATTTATTTATTTATTTATTTATTTATTAGCTTCATTAATTCTGAAATCACTGATTTCGAATTAATGAAATCATTCGAAATCATGAAATCATCTGCGGTGACGTTAGGAATCACCGAAATCATTTTATCCGAAATCACTGAAATCACCTGAAATCGATTTCATTTCGAAATCATGGTGTCCATTATGGATCATCTCCATCATCTCCATTATGGAGTAAGTAGCCCCTCGGTTGTTGCAAACAAATTATTTACAATAATGGAAATCTCGTGGGATAACTTCCGAGCATTTGTTTCCCCCAAAAAAATCACAAGCCCCTCGTACAGAACTCCCGGGTTTTCTCCCCAGGAATGAGTGCCTTTAGAACAGGCGCCGACCTAGTGCACATTTTCTGCACAAGAGACGCAGGAGGTCCGATAAAGTCCTTCAGCCCAGACCCGATAGTCCACCCAATTCTGGACCACCAGGACGCGCTAAAGCAGATAAAACCCTGGTTAGACAGGCTGCACGTGATCCTGATAGGTCCAGGTCTGGGTCGTGACGAGAAGATCTTCAAGACGGTTTCCGAATTGATTGGGGTCTGCAGGGACCTCAAGAAGCCCCTGATAATCGACGCCGACGGTTTGTTCCTGATCTCCCAGAGGCCAGAGCTGGTGAAGGACTATCCGGGGCTCATCCTGACGCCAAATGCGATGGAGTTCAGTCGTCTGATGAAGGCCTTCCTCGATCGAACAGTCCAGCCAGCTCCAGTCGTCAAGATCTCCGAGCTGAAGCACCTGGCGGACGCCATCGGGAAGAACGTTGTTATTCTCAATAAAGGGGCGAAGGACACCATAGTCGACGGCCACAAGGGGACAGAGGCCATCTGCTGCTCCATATCGGGCTCAGGAAGACGATGCGGTGGCCAGGGGGATCTGCTTGCTGGTGCTCTCGCTGTGTTCTGGTGGTGGGCCATCACTGCTGGCCCCAGTGAAATGGCCCTCTCTGCTCCCATGACAGCTGCCTACGCAGCCTCGAGACTAACCAGAGAATGCAATGCTGCTGCCTTCAAAGAAAAGGGGAGAAGCATGCTGACGACTGACATGATGGAACATATACAGCCTGTCTTCAGCAGGCTCTTTGAACCTCCAATCAACAACAAGTGAGATGTTGATGGTTGATACGATTTATTACTAACTAGTGTTTACTCGGGGTTTCTCAAAGCCAATGATTTGGGTTTTTTTTATCCAAAGTTGGAGGATAGTCGATGGATGGTTGCTGTGATTCAATTTGGTTTCGAGACATTTTCGTGTGGTTTTTTAATTGAGTGCCAGGTGAATGCAATACAGCTGAAAATAAATTTTTGGTTGGATTCGAGGAATACTTGTGTCCCATTGTGATAATAATATTTTTCCTCAGCTATGAACATTGCGTCATTCTTCCCCAATTTTTAATTTTTGTTCAACGTGATGCAACTTTCAAGTTTTTCGTGATTATTCAATGAATACACGTATGAAAAAATCGTGTAGAAATTTTCTATACGGATTGCGTATAGAATTTCTGTAGGATTTTCGCATATGAGATTCGGATATTTCTATAGGGATATTTTTTATGCAAATGATTTCTGTACGATTTCTATAAGTCTGGTCCTATACGACCCATTGTCACATGTATAGAAAGATTTCGTATGGAGTTGCGATATTTCTCTACGTTTTTATCTGGAGCGTTTAGACGTCTTTCGTATGAAAACAAAAATTTACGTGACAATTTATGTATAGGAATAATTCGTATAGAAATATCCGAATCTCATATACGGAAATCCTATAGAATTTCTATACGCAATCCATATAGAAAATTTCTGTACGATTTTTGCATATGTGTAGAGCGCATGCAACAATAAATTTCAGTTGTTTTGCATTCACCTGAACTGCAAGAATTGTTATAAATTATTTAAGCATTCAAATGTCGATCATTTTTATACCTGATCATGAGAACGATGAAGTAAATATCTTTTATGCATTATGGACTCTATTTTTAGATCCCTCTCCCTGAACGGACGAATACGAATGAAGGGTTCGGATACTTGAGACAATTTGAAGAAGTAAAGGAGAAAAAATGTATTCGTGAGCCATTGATTCTCGTATTTCTTATTCAATTAATAAATGATACATTCTACGGAAATGGGTATACATTTAAAAAATAATAAATACTGTTCTTTTGATTCTTAATTAATTCTATAGATATAGATTCTGGATATAGCTTCAGTTCGATTATCTTGATAGCTGCTCGACGAGCTTGTCATTAAGTATATACATAAATTTTTTTACCTAATTAATGGGTATTTGGGGGTTTTAATAAATACGGGATGAGGGGTCAAGTTGGTGGGATTTGAGGATTTCTAGGGGTTAGTGAGGGTGGAAATACTGCGGAAGTTTTGTGAATGAGAGAGCGGGGGGGGGGTTTCTTCTCATCACGCAGCCAACATTTCTGTCGATGTAATGATCATTTTCAAGGGGACTTTGAGGACCTTCGTACGTATGACTGATTACGTTGTAGTTAATGAGATATTAGGGGACTATGAGTAGAATGTTAAGACTGATGCCTGGTTGCCTCGGATGAGGAGAGTCGGCGGCATGTCGGCGGTCAGGGCCTCCAGCCACGCGAGGTACAGGGGAGCTGAGACGGCACCCTTCCTCGGCATTGGAAGAGACCTGGAGTCAATTTGAAATCAATTAATTGCAGAAAATTGATAATTGCGAAAATTCTAGATTTATTCTCGCAGGAAAAAATTTCATAGAAAAAGTCAATTCGGTAGGAAATTCCATTGGATTTCTAATGAACTTCTACTAGTTTTTGAATGATTCTATTGAAGAGTTCTGCGCTTTTTTTATTGAAAATTCCTAAGAGATACTTTTTTGTAGAACAAATCGGGAGAATTTCATCTTTCTATGCAACTTTTTCTGTTGGAATTCCTCGACATGATTTTTCTATTGATTTTTAAATTGTGAAGTCAACAATGAATAATCATCAGCAGTTCTGGGTGTAGAAAATACCATGAGCTGCAAAAACGATTTCCTCGTGTTTTCCTTCATATCAACTATTTTACGAGATATTTCAACACTTCACAATAATAGAAAATGCAAAAGAAGGGAATGTTATGTGTAGATTGTTTCAGAAATATCTCGAAATCTCTTTAGTTCTTTAGATCTTTTCACAAAATAGGGGCAAGTGGGGCAAAATGGATATTTTCAACTTTAAAAAAAAATTAATAACTCGTTTATTTTTCGATGGAGTGGGCTAATTGATCCCCTTTGTGATGAACTTAGACTAGCCTCAGTCAATGAATTTGTTCCTGATTTATGAACATTAGAAAAAATGTCAAAAGTTTCCGTTTTGCCCCGCCTATCCTTAGTCCGATTTCATTAATAGATGCATTAAGTTGTCTTACATCACGACTAATGTCGATTGACTAGAATTTTCCAAGAGCAATTCTCTGAGACGCAGTTGTCGATACGTCTTGTCCCTCAATATCTGCAGCTCTGCTTCTGTTATCATACAGTCTGTTGAATCATTGGATTCGTTTTTATGGTAATCAGCGATGAGTTTGTCGAAGAAATCCTGGGTTTCCTGCTTGGGTCGGACACTGATGTCATCCACCATCTTCAGGCTCTCGTACTTTATCCGGAACTTAGCCATGATTTCTGCCATTCTAGAGAGTCATTCAATCAGGAATTAGGGGACATTTCAATATTACGTCACACGGTTAGGGGTCTGTACTGATAGTGCCAAGAATTTTTATTGCAAAAATAGATTTAGTCTTATTATTACTTTGATTCATTTTCGCTTGGGGAACTGTCTACATCATCTATCACTTCGATCCCTTATCACTTCAAATTGAATATTTTCTCTTTGAAATGCCGAATACAAGTCAATATTGTTAGAACAATTATTTTTTTGATAATTTTCAACTGAAGATTTTGTTGCCCCTAACAAGACTTTTTTGAAAACTTGTTCGCTTTTTTCAGTGTGTAGTGTCGGCTCGTGACTGAGGGAGTTGAAAAAATTTTAAAAAAACAAACGTGTAACGTAATATTTAAATTTCTACTGAATTAGTTGTTCAGGGACTAAATGAATTCGGTAATCATACTCTTTCTCTTGTGCTCCTATCTCTTGCTTGTGATTCGCTAGAGCAAATATCCTCATCTTGCAGTGCTCCCAATTCGTCCTCGTACTGATGATGTATGGTAATAGGATTGTTAATCCTGAAATTTGAGAGGTCTACCACTTAAAAATGAGTTTGAAACTCTAACTGATTAATTCAGTAGCGAAGTTGTGAGGGGTAATGAGTAGAAATATGCAAATAGGATGATGAGTTATGCAGAGAATTCCAAGCTTTTGAATAATTCAAGGATTGGAATAGTCTATTCGATTTTTGAATTCAATTTTGCTCTTCAATGCCATTGGCTCCTCGGTAATTCCCCTAAAATCACGCATTGTTAAGATAATTAGATTTTACGTGTTTTGGGGAAGCAAATGGCGTCGTTTCACCACTTCGCTACTGAATTCAGCAAAGTTTTTCGTTAACGAATTACCTCCATCGTCGTACAGCCACCAGACGTCTATCACCCCGCGCTTGTGCTTCTTTTGGAAAATAGTCATGTATTCCGGGTGTGAAATCGTCCCGATTTTTCTGTCGCTGTGATGATTGCAAATAGAAAAGAATGAAGTTTAGTTTCTTCATTTATTCATTCTATTCGCTAAGTTTCGTAACATGGTCTTGCATAAAAAATCATGACTTCATTGTTTAAAATATTGAAATTTCATAGACAGTTGATCAATAATTTTGCAGAGAGTGACATTAAATTTGATTTAGGGGAAAAAATTTATATTTCACTGGAAATTCAATTAAGTTTGAAATTTTTGAGAAGCAGGAAGATGAGGATTCCTCTACCTTGTTGAATTTCAAATCAAAACATGAATATTCAGTGCCAAATTGATTGAAAATTCAAGAATATATTCACCACAATTTTCACCAGAATAATTGAACTGAAAGTTACAACTCCCATTGATTTTTCCATAAGATTTTGAATGTTCAGTGACGAAATTCGGATTTCACTGGACTTATAATGTGGTAAAAATTCCCAACAAATTTACCGGAAATTCCCCTTTATAAAACTGAATTATTTGACGAAAAAAGGTCTCAAATCACGTAGGATGTAAAAATATTTCGTAAAGCCAGTCGTTCCGCAGACAATCAATATTTTACAAATGCGTGAATTAATTCCAATAGTTCCGATCAATAATCCAACTTACTACAACATCTTATCAGCCGCATTCTTCTTCTTGAATTTCAAATGATCCTTAGCGCTGAAGTGAGTGGGGGATTCCCTCGCGATCGAAGACGGGCTCTCAACCCCGACGTACTGAGTACCGATGGTGGGTACACTCTGCACTCTTGGCATTATACTGCTCATCGATAAATCACTGTCTGCGTGCATCAACGTGTTACCAGCTATATCGTAACTACTCTGCATCAGGTGCTCTTCATCAATGTGATTGGAGATAACTGATGAGTCCAATCCATTTGGTACGCGCAGCATGGCAACTGCCAGTTTCTGATCGAAAGCAGTGCTGCGGCGAAATCATTAGCTAATTATTGCTTTGATCCACTTTCACTTGGGGAACTCTACATCATCTATCACTTTGATCCCTTATCACTTCAAATTAAATATTTTCTCTTTGAAATGCCTAATACACATCAATATTGTTAGAAAAAAATTGAAAATTCAGTGGAATTATAATGCGATAGACATTTCAGAGAAGAAGATATAGTTTTTCTTTCCATGAATCCATTGAATAATCGAAGAGATACTTCATGACTTCAATTATGAAGAATAACTTCACAAATTCCATTCATTGGATAAAAAAAAAATGTCGAATTATTCTGCAAGTAAATTGCAAATGGACTGGATGAAAAGAATTAAATTGAAACAGCGTAAAAAAAATCTTACTGAAGAACATTGAAGTACTCCTGCAGAGCCTTGTAATTACAACTGGCCCAATGGGTCTTGTATCCCATTAAAACGACATTGGGGGCAAGCTTTCCCACCCCTGTAGCTTGCATCAGCGCAGAGGCACCCCTCTCGAAGCACAAATCCCCGACAACGTGATAAAAAGCCTTGATTCGGTGACGCTGCAGCCACGCATATCCATTCCTCAATCTCACCGATCGTTGACGATACGACAGACGATCCTATTCGACAATTACGGATAATTGGAGTGAACAAAGTTTGGATTAACTTCTCATGTTTTTTTTATCGTTATTTTACATCGCTTCGACCCGGTTAGGGTATACTGCGATGATGATCAAGACTTTCAATGGTTAGATCGCACTATTCTACCCGGCCGGGATTTGAACTCGGAACCTTTCGCATGTGAGGCAACGAATTTACCCACTGCGCCAAGCCACCGGAAACCTCTCATGTTATCAAGGCGAATTGGGGTAATGATCGGATGGGATTATAGTTTACGAGAGGTTTTTCGGCACTTACCGGACAAACTTCACCCGCGATGAGCAGGGAATTATTTTTTGTTATGAGATTCGCCAAGTGGAGGAGATCGGGACGAGTTCCTGGGGAACCTGAGAGGGCGAGAATCTGGGGTGCGTAGTTTTTCACGTGCTCGTCGATCGAGTTTAATCTGGAGAGGAAAATAATTAGTTGTATTACTATTTACGCAGACAGGGCCGAAGGGGAACACTCAAATATTATGTCAGACGTTTTTTGAACCGCAATTATTTTTCCAAAAATTGTGAAACTGCGAATTTCAGAGAAAATTTAACGTATTTCCAATTTTTCAGCATCAGAAACATGAGAATTACTCGATTTAATAGAATTTTCAATCGAAAACTTGACTCACTGCCACATTGCGGTCAATTCTCAATCAATTGGAAATTGAAAAATATATTTCCCTGAATTTTTCTGATTTATTTTAAATTTCAGGGAATGATTTACTTGGAATTAATGGTTTTCGTTGATTTTTTCATCAAATTCCTTTAAATCTTAGTGGAATGGCTTCATCGCTTTATAAAAATAGAAAAAAACTATTCCAGTTCTTTGAGAATTTCTATTCAAGACCTCTTCTTCCCAGAAATTTTCAAACTGAATAATTCAACTTTTCCACAAACTCATTACAATTAATTACCTGTAGACAACAGATAGTGCTGTTTTATATGTCTGCGCCTGGGTACTATCCCCCCAATTGACATCAGGCTTACGATAAACAACGATGAGATAAAGCGCGAATATAACGACGAAAGTAATGAGTGCCGTAACCCAGTCGATCAAAAACATGAAGGCCACACAGAGAATAAATCCGAGTAACGATAACCAGGTGTTGTAATACTGAAAACAATAAGAAATACATGAAAAATGTCATAATTGCGCGTGTTAATTCGTTTACCCCGAGTTTAACTAGTTTAGCTTACCTTGAAAGTCGGCCGCCAGCCGAGCGGTCTTATGAGCGCAGCATGGAACGTGCAGAAGTTTATTAGGGCATATGAGGCTAGATAAAAGTTGGAGATAAGTGGTGCAACTGCGTTGAGATTGGCTGAAACACAATTTCGATTGTTTGAGGGGATTCACGTTTTATGATTGACATTTTCACAGAGAAAAAAATTTCTCTATTTTTGGGAACATTTTCAGGAATTTTTGATTGTTAGTGATTTACAGGGACACACGGAGAGGAATATTCAATAAAGATTACGTATCTTTTTCGAAATTCCGGAGTGAAATATGGTTGTAGGAAATTTTACGTAACTGTCACGTAATTTTTACTTAGATCACGAAATTTTTCCAGAGCGTTCGGTATTTTTTACCGGAATCTCCTGTGAACAATTACGATACCGCCACTTAAATTTCCTGGGTCTATTCCGTAATCGGTGAGCGAACTGTGAGTTCCGTAATTTTTACTGAACATTTATCTCCGTGCACGTGGCTGTCATTTAGGAATCTATCACTAAATTTCAGTGATAAAAATCACTGATGATCAGGCTCATTTTTATCAGTGTTCCCACGGAGAGACTCTTTAGAAAAATTCTAGTGCTGTTAAGGTAAAATTTCCAGGAATTTCTGATAAAATTTCATGTAAGAACGGAAGAAATTCACGTGCTACTCAATAAAATTTCCAGTACCGGCACTGGAATCTTTTCCTGGCCGTCACCTTTTCCCGTGCTAGCGCTAGAATTTTTCTAGAGAATTTCTCTCCGTGTAGTATCACCAATAATTGGCGATAGATTCGTAAAAATCAGTGATATGTTTCTGAAAATCAAAACTGAGGCAATCGAGAATCCCCAAGTGATTTGCAGGGACATGTTGCTGTTATTTAGTAATCTATCCCCTAATTTCAGTGATAACAATCACTGATGATCAGACTCATTCTTATCAGTGTCCACACGGAGAGAATCTCTTTAGAAAAATTCCAGGGATTTCTAATTAAATTTCATATAAGAGCGGGAAAAATTCACGTGCAACTCAACCGTGCAATATCACCAATAATTGGCGATAGATTCCTAAAAATCAGTGATAGGTTTCTGAAAATCAAAACTGTCACAGTCGGGAATCCCTAATAATAGGAAATAAATTCCTGAATATTAGGGATGGATCCCTGAAAATAAGTGACATATCCCTAAAAATCGAGGTTTTTTTTTCTCTGTATTCACGACTAGTCGGATTTTATTGAGGCATACCGATTAGGAGGAAGCCCGCAGCTACAAAGAACGTGAGGACATAGCCACGATACGGCTCGCCGGCCTTTCCATAGCCCTTGCTGAAGAAAATCAAGCCTGGATAAATTCTGTCGCGACCTAGGGCTTGAATGAGACGCGGAACGGATATGAGATTCGTCAGGGCTGTGGACAGAGTCGCTGCGAAGCACCCTGCGTAGATGAGTGGACCCCATAGTGACATCATTTGCATTATCTATTCGGAAATCATTGCTTTACATTTTATGAAAACTCTTTCTTATAAACATTCTCATCGATGTGAGTGATACACTGATAAAAGGATTTAATTGTTGTTAACAAGGCATTAATGAATAATTCAGTAGCGAAGTGGTAAAAGGAGATAAGTCACTTTTCAGTATTGACCAGTTTTCAATCAATATCTCGGAATCTAAGAGAGATAGCGAAATTTTTGTTATGACCTTTTTTGTGGAGCCGATTGAGTGCTACAACAAATGTTATTACGAAAATTTCGATATCTCTCTTAGATTCCGAGATATTGATTGAAAATTGGTCAATAGTCAAAATTGACTCATCTCCTTTTACCACTTCGCTACTGAAATAATGAATAATTAGCTCGTTAATAATAGCCGCTGATTTTCGTGAGAATCTATTGCTTACTAGACTTAAATGTTGCATTTTTACCTAAATTCGAGGATAAATTTCAATAATATGAACGAATCACCGAAAATAACGAGTTTGCCTTTTCCCAATTTACTTCTACTTACCGAAACACTATTGTGAAGGCCATACTCGCAGTCCACCCCAACCGTACAGTTGATAATAGTCCCATTATCGTAAGTTCCCGGTGCATCACGCACAGCAGCACCCCCAGCAAACAGCACAAACATAACGTAACTGATCATGGAGATAAGGAGAGCCAATAGTGTACCACTGGGAATACTGCTGGCCGGGTCCTTCAGATCGCCGGATATATTGGCACCAGCTTGAATTCCAGTGACAGATGGGAAGAAGATAGCGAAGACGGAGAAGAAGTCGTAATTCACTTTTTCAAATCGACGATAATCTGGTCCCCAGTTTGAGATCAAGGTCTGCGATGAAAAGCCAACGAAACCTGCGGCTTCTTGGATCGCTTCTCGCGGGCCAACAATCGCTCCGATTAGGAAATCAAACATTGCGATTACGATGATTGCGATTAAGAAGTTTTGAGCCTGGAGACATTAATTTTTATGAAACTCAGTGGCAATGCAACGTCGATAAACAAAATTAATCTCGGAAATGCGACATTTCATTTTAGTATTTCGCTGGACACTGGTAAAAACAAAGTTTTTTGAGAAGTTCGTATTTACTTTCGTCGAGAAGTTTTGTTCTTGTTCTAAGGACGAGGACAATTTCTTGATGAGAACCAAGCGATTTCTCAAACCAAGTAAATTGAATTCAGTAGCGAAGTGGTGAAACGGTACAAGTCAATTTTGACTATTGACCAGTTTTCAGTGAATATCTCGGAATCTAAGGGAGATAGCGAGATTGTTGTTATAACCTTTTTTGTAGAGCCGATTGAATGCTACAACAAATGTAGTTACGAAAATTTCGCTATCTCCCTTAGATTCGGAAATATTTCTCAAAAACTCAACTGAGAGATAAGTCGACTTAAACCGTTTTACCACTTCGCTACTGAATTGATTCCTTCAATAGTTTTGTAGCCTCAATTCTACAATATTTTAATGCAAAAACCACTTGAATTGATTTGAGAATTTGTTTTCTTGATGTCAAAGACCTACTTCTCAAAAAGCTCTTGTCGTCTCAGTGTTAAATCTCGTCTGCCTTAAATCTGCCTCTCTCACTTGTAATTACTCACCTTGGACTCCCACTCCATCCCACCAGCGCAAATTAATATCATAATAAATATCGCGATACACCCTATGATCCGTGTATCTTGCACCCCATTATCGATTATCCCCCCGGTGGGCTTAAGCAGCTCATTCATAGAATCGCAAAACCCTATGGTGTTCATCGATGCGGCTACAGCGTTAGCAAATGCGAATACTATGCCCACGGAGGCTCCAAACTCCGGACCAAGGGATCTTGATATTATGAAGTAAATCCCTCCTGCAAATTTATAATGCGGTGGATTTTCCAAGTCAGTGATAAAGGGGGATTTGGGGCAGACTTTAACCTCTAGTGAATGGGTCATGTTTTCATCTGTAAAATGCGGGGTTTTACTGGAATTTATCAAAGGACGATGTCTTTCATAATTTCTCCTAAAGTAATTCATCAATTACTCATCAATAATTAACAAAATTTGTAACATCATCTATGCGTTAATATTGGAACAAAACCTTCTCTAAAATTTTCTCTCAAAATCATCAATTTAAAACAATACAATAAAACAATAAATTTTCGAAGACCCGAGGAGACCCCGCATGAAAAAAGTTAATAGACATAACCGGCGCTTTCTCCAAGAAATTCTAGTGAATTTCTATTGGAACTCTAGAAGAATTTTATTGAATTTTATTGAAAGACGTTATTTGCTCTATAAATCGATATTATTTAGAGAAAAAAAATCTGTAATGTTGATTTTTCTGTACAACTCGTTCTGTTGGAATTGTTTCGCTAAAAACTCTTGCCCATAAATTTTTCCCGTTTTTTCTCGGATTTTATCATGAAAAAAGAATAGAAATACAGTGAAAAAACTTATCAGCGAAAAATTTATGTTCAAGAATTTCCGTAGAAAAATCAAAATGGATTGAATTTTTTCTATTAAACATTTCTTAACAAAACGTTGCGGTAAACTTGTATAATCTTCACTAGAACTGACAGATATAACAAATAGAATTGTTAAGAGTGTTTAGCCATTTTCAGCAAATCTTTTTACTTCACGTTCAAGGAAAATTCTATAATTTTTTGGCCGATAACAGAACATATGAAACTAACTTCTTTGATGTTAAAAAACAAAAATCGCAATAGTCTCGCCAGAAATAAATAAACTAATTTTTCTTGATACACGGGCTCTTATGGGATTTATGTTTAAATTTATAATTCACCTACTAAAAAGCTCGAAAAATAGAAATAAAAATAGAAGGTAATGTTAAACTATATTAAATCGAGTGGCCAGAGAAAAATTTGGGGTACTCGGGCAAAAAGCGGAAATTTTTCTCAAGATAAAGGGAATACTTTCCTCTCAGTTGAAAAAAAAGAAAATTTTTTTGAATATTTGCGATTTTGGATAAAAATCTTTAGCAGAATTCCAACAGAACTTCAATGGAATTTTCATAGAGTTCCCATAGAGATTGGACATTTCTTGGGGAAAACGCCAGGTTTTTCTATTCCGTCATATGTGATTCGTCCCGTTTTACCCCTCCGCCAATGAAAAAAATTGTCCTCAAAGTCCCCATAAATATCCACTGAATCGTCGACTAAATTTAATAGACTTGCCCCATAAAATTCATCGGATAAAAAACCTCCAAAGGTAAACAACGTCACGCGTCACAAAGGCACACCCTAATCCTAGGAAAAAATAAATGTCCAACATAACACACCTCCCTTTACTTCGCCATTAGTGCTAATTGCACTGAGACTCAGAGTAGTGATGACACAAACTCCAGCCGATATTCCAATTATAATAATACTCTGGAGTATTCCAGCCTGTGCGACAATCCACGATAGTCGCAGAAAGAGCATAACCCCCCAGATGTTCAATAAACAGGGTATGAGGACCCCTTGGATCCACCCCAGCTTAATGCCCCCATGAACAGGACCGGGAGTGACGCCAGCCTCGATATTGCCCTCCTGAAAAAAAACAATGGGAAAAAAACTTCCCTGAAACATGGAAATTGACAGAGGAAAATGAATTCCACTCTTCTCACTGTATTACAGGGTCTCGCGAGGGCTGAATGACTCGCCGTCTTCGGTAATCTCGTATTTTTACTGCTCCGCAAACTTAATCAGACGCCTGTCCTCATCGGCGATAGGAAATTTCTCCTTTCACCGTCTTTCTGCTCTTTTCCATTCGCCAAATTGAGTTAAATTATTTAATCCCTTTGAATTTATTCCGCCGGGGGAACGAGATTTATTTTTGTAAGACTATTTCCACGGTTTCTAGCGGCTTATGGTTGAAAAGTCGTTTGACATACTTAAGTTGAGTGGATGGTTACAGACGGATAATAATAATAAAAATGAGTTTGAATGGCTGGGGATTAATTTCTCTGTCTTAAATTGAAAATCTCGAGATTGAGTAATTTTTTATGCTCTCTGTCGTGAAGATGATCTCAAAAATAAGTAATTTCGGGGGAGAATATTATAAAATATTTGTATATGAATAATAATAATGTGATAAATGATACATATTTCGCTATTACAGTTGGATTTTGGATTTTATTCAAAAATTTAATGAAAAAAAATTTAAACTGTTTTGACAATTATTGAAAACATTGCGCGTAAAAAATGTAATAGAAACATCCAGCGCATTTGTTAGTAAATTTCATTACATTTCGATTGAACTTGAAAAAAAAATTCTGTTAATTTTTCGTCGATTCTACTAAAAAAAAAAATTTAACGCATTTTTTAAAATAACATTGTTCGATATAAAATATTTCACAGAAAAAAATCTCCATAGTTCGATTCTTCTGCACAACATATCCTATTGAAGCATTATCCATTGGAAAAAAAGCATCAGGGACCACCGGCGGAAATTCCAAGAGAATAGTCTCTAGTATTTTATCCCGCCTCAGGGAAATTTATCATTCACAAACAGCAATTTCAGTATTTTTGCGAAGTCATCGATAACTAGTTCTCCAGGTAACCAATGAATGACACATTGATTGCTAGAAGTGATCTATGATTAACGGTAATACTTGAACAAACGCACAAGTATTTACCGGTTACATCCGACGAGATCTGGAAATTATTGAGCTATAGCTTGGCAACCAGCTGCGTAATCACAACCCCCCGGGTACCGATGTAAGTGAGCAGGTAAATGTTCACACGTTGGATTAACACCTGCGGTTATTCATGCATTCGCGGAGTGTCGTAAATGTTCTAAAGCGGTAAAAATATATCTCATTGTAGTTCACTCACTTTGACGGGATTGCCGTCGTGCAAATCACTCAGCGATGGCCTCTTCGCTCGTCGACTAGCTCTGAAAGTCCAGAAATACTGGAGTTAAACTTTCGGGGGAATGGGCAAATTCTTTATTCGAGTTGTAATGTACCTGTAGTGGTCCAGACGGGGGACAACGTCCCAGAGTCCATTAACGTTCAGTGTCATGGACATTTTCTTGCCGTTTATGTGGGGAGCGTCATCCTCGCCATTTTGACTCTGGAATTTACCCTCCATCCTCGCTAGTCTGGAAAATAGAGAGAATGAATTCCGGGGAAAGCACTATGGGAAAATTCTTTGTTTGATGAGGCTTTTGTTTGGAGTTTTATTGCCGATGGAGAATTGGAGCATCGGGCAGGGAGAGAAGAAATAGCTATTTTCGTCACAAGGTTGAAAAAAACATTTCCGACGAGTGCGAGGGTTGCAGACCGAGGCGATGCCGAGGATCTCGTGCAATCGTACGAGACAGAAAAGTCGTTTTCGGTCGAGTGACGAACATAATTTTAGTGACAATGCTACTACGGTCTTTATTGTTTTCATGACGTTTTCGTTATGCACTTCCAATATTGCAATATGTAAAATATTCATGACGTAACGCGGAACGATAGTAATGAATGAAAATTTATTCGAGTTCCGTGAACTGCACACATTCTGAGATTTAAGCCATTGAAAATAATTTACTTCTCTCAAGAAAATATGTTTCAGATATTAGAAATTTTTTTTCTCACTGTGGAATTCATAGTGATCTGTTTCTATGGAGAACATTCCGCGAAGGAAACGTTATTGTGGAAATGTTTATTTGCATTTATATGAATAAACACTGATATGATCATCATCATTAGGGGATTTCTGCGTGACAGAGCATTATAGAATTTCCATGAGAATGAAGATCTCAATGAATGATAAATATTGAGCCTGATTGGGCTTCAATTCAAAGTACGTTATAAAAATTGTTGAAATTGGTTCAATCATATCTAGCTTGGAAAATTGGCCTCAATGAGCCATTGTTTGGGATTGAGAGTAGTTGAATTAGCATTGTGAGTTCCTGTTGTGGCATTTAATGAGAGCCTGAATGTTTGTGCAGGTGTGTGATTCCAGCGATTCCCAGCGATTCGGAAATTCCTCCGGGACGGGAGAGAATGGTATCGAACGTCGAATAGTCTCCGTCCACAATTAGGGCTATTTTGAGGGGGATTATTTTCCTTGGGAATTATTTACTTCTCCGGCTTTGCGATCATTCATTTTTATTGATAAATCCATTGCTTCGTGAATATAATGAAACAATTGTAAACAATTGTTAGAACGGTTGAAGTCGGCTCAGATTTTAGTTTAATTTTTTAAGAATATTTCAGAATCTAAAGGGGGTGGCGGAATTTTTTCAGCGGAAAGCTTTGGATAAATTCTTTGGCAACTCAATTTTATTGGAATGTTACGGGAATTTTATGTTAAATTTTAGCTTTAGATCTTGTAGTTCCTAGCGAAATTGATAATGAAGTAGAATCAACTAGACTTGAAATACAATCAATTACAGATGGATAGTAATTTTCAGGGGAAGGGGATTGAATTCCATCGAAGGGAAAAAAATTATGAAATTTCAGATTTCACTGGAAATTCAATGAAAGTCAAAATTTTTTAATTTGCTGGAATTTGAGATCAAAACTTGGATATTCAGCACCATATTATTATAAATTTTCGATTTATACAATTCTTGAATTACAATAACTCAAGAATACATTTGTATATTGTCGAATTTTCGATTAATCAAAAATTCAGAATAATTTGAACATTTTCATAAAATAATTGAACGGAAATTTCTAGTTTCCATTGACTTCTTCTTCAAAATTTTAATTTTTCACTGACGAAATTCCTTGACATTTCAGTGGATCGAACTATACCTCGATAAAAATTTCCAAGAAATGTAACGGAAATTGCAGTGAAAATTTCGAAAAATTCCAAACCCCCAGTGACTCCTCACATGCGCCATGCTCGAGAAATTTTTTGAGAATGTTTCATTGTATATTCTGATTCAAATGAAATCAGGCTGGTGGCGGTTGGGTTTGCAAGCACGCGTGGCTCACCCGCGAAAATAAACATCCGATCGATCATCCTATATATCCGCTCTTCCTCTCGCGTCTCGTGAATTATCAAGCCGAGTGTTTCAACCGACTCGAGAGACCTGTCCGCAGCCCACAATTGACACTGATCGATTCACGAGTCTCGAAAATCCCAAGGATTATCAATATTCCCATCGGAGAAGTTCCCGCATTCCTCCTTCCTCCGGAAAAACTTTCAACGGAAGTTCGATGTATTGGTCATTTGAGACAACATTATTCTTCGGGATTGGATCGCCGCGACTGCAAAATGCTTTCTCTTGGAGGGAAATACCGAGTGGATAAATAGAGCTGAGGACCCGTATTCTCCACATAAAAGTATCACAAAAAAAATTATTGAGGAATCACTTTGCGATTGGAAATTCACAATTTCATTGCAAAATAAATGAAAACTGTGAATTTCAAGTCAATTATTTCATGGAGATTAACAGAGTTCACAATTTTTTAGATAAATTATTGTTCAATGTTTGATCAATTGAAAATTCTGCCTAATTTTCTATAAAATATTGATATCTTGATTGAAAAGTCTAGGCAAATTGCGAAAATTTTCAGCTTTTTGCCGTTCTAAATGCGGAATCCCGTTGAATTCTCAGCGAAATATATAATTTCATGATTTTTTTCTCAAACGAAATTTTTTTTCGCTCTTCTGAAAATTAAAAATAAACTTCTCATAAAAATTGAATTTTCATTCAACAGCGTTGTCGTTTTACCCTTCACTCCGCGACACGGAGAGAAATATTCAATAAAAATTACGTATCTTTTTCGTAATTTCTGAGCGAAATGTGGTTGTAGGAAATTTTACGAAACTGTCACGGAATTTTTCCGGAGCGTTCCGTAATCTTTATCTGCATCTCCTGTGAAAAATTACGATACCGTCACTTAAATTTTCTGAATCGATTCCGTAATCGGTGAGTGAATTGTGGGTTCCGTAATTTTTACTCAACATTTTACTCCGCGATATCAATCAACGAAAATGGATGGTTCACCAGGAAGTAGTAGGTACGGTATCGGTGGTCACAGACACACCGCATGAGTGTATCCACTTGATGAATTTGGCATCGGTCCTAAATGCCTTTTGGCATGAGCAAACTCCGAGGAAATAGAGAATGTTTCATTCATTTAGTGTTACAATTATGTCGAGGTGGAGGGGACTTCGTTTTCTGCCCAGAAGGATGAAAAATAAAAAATCTGGAGGAGTATAACGTAACAGGAAAATCCAATTTGAGGAGGGAAACCGTAAAACTGTTGCTACTCGATTTGTTTTCTCCCCTCAAGGAGTTTCATTCATGTTCAATTCATCTTCTCGGATTTTTATTATGTCTGGGGATTTTTTCCGGGAAAGTTATATTTGGCAGATCAGCGAAGTTTTCGTGGGAGTTTAGGACGAATTATTATCACCCACTGCTAGTTATTTACGGGAATTCAGTGACAGTTATGTGTGATTTTGAGAAATTGTGATCTTCCATTCGTTTCTGAAATTGTGATCTTAAAAGCACTCAGAAAATTTATTATTTATCCCTGACATAGACCTTCGAATAATAGTGCGACATTGAATTTAATTTTTAATAGATTGGGAATTAAGAATTAAATGACAATTAATTCTTAAATGCCAAAAAATTGGTTGAAGGACATTTTTCTTTAAAAAAAAAATATTAATATAATGTCCAGAATATGTTTCTAACGGCGTATTTTCTCGTACGTCAATCATCCCACAAGAATTCATTGGACCCCCTATTGTCCTTTATTGATCCCCAGATTGTCACTGATTCATTCCACACTCAATATTCCAATTAAATACGTCGACCCGCGGCACTGTTGTCTCCTGCCTGAATCCCAACAGAAAAATTGAACTCGACGAGGACGAAATCCAGAAGTTTTTCGACTCGATAAACCGAGACAGTTAATGACCTCTCGATTTGGTTTATTTATGTATGTTTCCCCAAATATCCAAAGCCTGCTTCAATCCAATGTCAATAAAAGCTTAAACTATTCCAACGAAATCTTTGATGTCAAAAGTTTACTGAGACGTATCATAAACATTAATAGGAAGATTCGATTTGTTTTTGGCAATTATATTGAATAATTCCGCATTTTTTTGCGTATTTTGTCAAGTAGAAATGGTTGGATGATGATATTTTGCCTAAAAATCAATTAATTTTGATCTCTTCATATCATTTTGTTGAGATTATTGCAATGAAAATTTCTCCACTTAAATTTTCCACTTAAATTTCTTGTTCTTTTTTTTCAAAATATTTCCACAGAATCAGTTTCAAAAAAAATCTGTTAATTTCTCTCTATTGAATAATTTCACTCAAAAAACGTCCGGAAAAACTCCGCATTAAGTTTCGCAAATGAAATGAAAAAATTACCCAGCGTCTCCCGGAGAAAACTTGTTGTTTCAAGTTCCAAAAAATCTCTTTATAGACTTAAATTGATTCCTCAACTTTTCACCACTTCGCATCACTTTTTCAAAACTTCCGAGGACCACAAGTTTGGTGAGACGTATCGTAAACATTAATAGGAAGATTCGATTTGTTTTTGTCAATTACATTGAATAATTCCGCAATTTTTTGCCTATTTTGTCAAGTAGAAATCGTTAAATGATGATATTTTGCGTGAAAAATCAATTAATTTTAATCTTTCCATGCAATTTTGTTGAGATTGCTTCTATGAAAATTCCCCCACTTAAATTTTTCATGTTTTTTCTTTCTAAATATTCCCACAGAATCATTTTCACATAAAATCTGTTAATTTCTCTCTATTAAATAATTTCACTCAAAAAACGTGCGGTAAAACTCCGCATTAAGTTTCGCAAATGAAATGAAAAAATTACCCAGCGTCTCCCGGAGAAAACTTGTTGTTTCAAACTCCAAAAAACCTCTCTATAGACTTAAATTGATTCCTCAACCATTCCACCATTTCGCATCACTTTTTCGAAACTTCAGAGGACGACAATCACTGTATCCACAAGAATTAAAGTAAGAAAAAATAGAGTTCTGGAAGAAATTTGAATTTTCAGGTATTGATGACAAAAGAGAAGGACAACAGCAATATTCAATGGAGTATCTCGGTCCGCGGTGTGCGTGGACGATGAAATAGAAAAACTGGAAGATCCCGAAAATCTCGCGTCCGAATATACTCTAGATTCAACTCCTGTATTTTACACGGAGGGAAAATCTAGGAGGCATGCGTGATGCTTCCCTTTCTCCATAGACATGGGGGGTGGAGTAGACGCCGCGCCAAGCTCGTATCCCATTGCAAGATACATTGATGACACACGTGTATCCTCGAGACAACAAGAGAGGAAAATAAGAACAAGAAAAAAACCCCATCGATTGACCAGGAAATTTCGAAAGATGCTCTGCACTTGAGAGATGCCATTCAAGGTCTCGACGCCTCGGTACGTTTCGAGTAATTGAGGTGGCGTTATCGACGGTAAAATGCATTCAATTGCATCCGAACAACGGCGACACTCGACAACAATTCGATATGAAATGAAAAAATTTGTTCGTTAACGATTGAATTAGATCAGATACCTCATCGATAATTTCCGCGCGGCGTTCATCATTTTGGATTTGTGAATGAACTAGAATCACTGAACGTATGGCACTGACCCCCAAAAATGGGGATAACAAATGTAAACTTGTGTCGCCCGATATTTGACGTGAATAGCGTGAATTTTTCTTATCTTTCGGAGCCAAGAAGTCTCGGTCGCGTTTCGAGACAGACTATCACTTTTCCAGTTGATTCCCTCGCAATATATACAGGCTTGGGGCCACATACGCAGGTATACTGGGAGGTTTCAGTGTGTTATCGCACATTGAAAAAACTCCCGCGACACGCGCGTACGACACTTGCCTGGGGAACTCCTGGTTCGGAATTACTATGGAATTACTATTTCAGGGGTGTTTTTACTGTTGATAATTTTCTTTGACTTTAATTTTTATCTTCAGTTGGGTGGAATTAATTGACTTCGCCGGCGATCGAGGAGATGTCGATTCGATTGAGAGCAACTCCGTTGAATTGGAGCTATAAGTTTTGAATTTTATGATTACGGAGAAGTGATGATTCTCAAGGTGAGAATTGTGAATAACAGCGGATAATAGGATGTGTGAATTGATAATATTTTTTTATGCAAGACATTTTTTTAGGAGTGCATTGTTAGGAAATAATTCCACAGGAAAAAGAATGGCTGAATTTCACACACATTTTGTTAACATTTTTCAGACAAATAACGTTTGAATAGAATGAAAATTTGTCAATATCAAACGAACAGGTGCCTTAACATCCTAATTCATGTTTGAAATTCAGACAAGTTTTCAGTTTGTTCAGACGTTTTTTCATGTCTGAAAAATGGCTACAAAAGGTGTGTGAAATTCAGGAATTCGTTTTTACTGTGTGAAATTGTGTGAACAGTTTCGTAATTGTTTTTAGGAGAGCGACATTGCGTTGGATTTAGAGGCAAAAATAAAACAATTTCAAATTATACGGAAAATTCAATAGAATCTTACGGTTTTTGAACAGCACTTAATTAAATTTTCAATTCATTGACAATTCAAGAATATATTAACTTTAATTTTCCTGATTTATATCCATTCCCATGGAATAATTAAACTGAAATTTATAGTTTCTAGTGACTTTTCATCTAATTGTGAATTTCCAACGATGAAACTCCAGTGGAACTATCACTTGACAGATATTCCGAGAAGTGTACTAGAAATTTCAGCCAAAAATTTCTCAATTTCATTGAAAATTCAATGGAATTTTAAATTTTTCAGCGTGGAAAAATTTAAATTCCACAACTCACTTGAATTTTTAATTAAAACAGAAATATTCCGGAATAAGATTGAACTTAAATTTACACTTTCCAGTGATCTTTCAATTTTCAGCAACGAAATTCATTGAAATTCCCGTGAAACTGTCACTTAATAGAAATTTCCGAAAAATCGATCGCGAATGTCCGCAAAAAATTTCCAAAAGTGCAATATCTATTCGATTAAATTAATGTTTGCAGTACCTCAACAACAATTGGGGCAAAACGGTCAGTTTTTCTCCATTCGCTTATCTGTACTCACGAGTGTATTCACACGTGATGATGCACGAACTGCTATTTTTCATATGTTGTATTCATTTATTCACTCAACGTCACGCAAATTGACGAAAACCTTGGCTTCACGCGAGGACGAGTGCAATGCTACTGGATTCCTTGAAATGTCCCGAGGGTCTCGATAATTTAAAAATCCTCTGTGTATCTCTTCACGTAACAACAATCATTTATTCGTACCTCTCTGTCTGCGCAATTAGTCGGTCTGACAGTGGGATTATTCGAAGAGGGAAAATTGCAAATTGAAACGGGAAGTATTTTATACTTTGTTGCAGGATTACTACTTAAATGTGGGTGAGTTACTTATGAATTCTCGGCGACAACTATCATTTTTCCTGGGGAGTTGTATTCTAATTGTTATGGTTATTGGAGCACTATCTGCAACACGACATTTTCTTATGGCCTCGGTGGATTCATGAATATTTTCAAGAAGTTCTTCTATTTTTTTCGGTTTTTTAATGAATTCTATGTTTATATTTTTACTCGTTCCTACACATTTACCATCACTGTTGGGCAATTTATACGTTTTTCTTCTTGGAAATGATTATCAAGTGATAGTTCCACTGAAATTTCAAGGAATTTTGTAGTGTGAATATTCCTATTTCGATGGAAAAATCAATGGAAACTGTAAATTTCAGCTAAATTCAGTATTGGCCAATTCTTGACGAATATCTCGGAATCTAAAAGAGATAGAAAAATATCTGTCATAACCTTTTTTGTAGAGTCAAATGAGGTCTATAAAAAAGGTTATGAGAAAAATTTTGCGATCTCTCTTAGCTTCCGAGATATTCATTAAAAACTGGATAAAATCAAAATCGACTTGACGGTTTACGGATTCGCTACTGAATTATTCCACGACAATTAAAAAAATCTGGGAAATTCTTGTAAATATTTCCTTGGATCTCCAATTAATTGACAGTGCCCCATAATTTAGTGCTAAACTCAACTAAATTACAAAATACTGGTCTTCCTGTTGCTAAAAAATTCGGATTGCCATTGAATTTAAGTCAAATTCCCAAATTTCATGACGTTTCCCCCCTCTAAACCGACTCCAACGTCACTCTCCTAAAAACTTCCACTAAACCACCCCTAACATTTCAATTTTCTCCACCAGTCCTTCACCATAACCGATAATTATCTCAATACAATAAATATACGTACAATCACCAAAAAATCAGTCGTACAGAAATCCTCAAACGTCTTAACTCAATGGTTTCACAGTGTTAAATGATCAGCGTCATCTCCAAATCACAAGTATATATACCATGCCACTACCATTGGGAATTAACGACCCCCATGCACTACTATTGAGTTAGTTAACCCAATGCTGAACTTGAATACAAGTGACGAGACTGTGGCGTAAGCTTGTCGTACACCCTCGTTTGTCATCAGCTAATTAATTGATGTTGTCACAAGATTTTTCTTAATAACATTATTTTTTCCGATGACTTCTCCCATGAACTGTAATCACTATCAGCTTCATCAACCATTCAGGAGTCTATTATTATCAATTCATTCATCAATTGGACTATTAGACAATTGGGATTTTGCTTTGAATTTTTTGTTATTACTGAATATGAACGTTACATAAAAAAAGGAAATTTTACGTGATTTATAAAATAAATTATAAAATAACAACGAAATAATAATAATAATAATAATAAAATGAAGCAATAATACAATTCATAAGTTGTAGGAAATTGATGTCTTTACTATGACGTAAATACATTTTCATGCGACAATCCAATTATTAATTTTCTAAAAATGAACACTTTCAGTGTTGATGTTTTGCTCTGCTATGCGTTAATTCGGTCTTATTGAGTTCAAGTGAGTTGTCAAAAATAATATTGCCGGAAAGTATCAGATATTTTGCAGTTTGTTGCTGAAAGATTCAATTGATGACCAAGATACAACCAGACAAAACTGCGTCAGTCAACCATTCTTCAAGTCTTTAGTCTTACTAACGAACTAGATTGATTCATCTGCAGATACGTATGAAATGATATTACGTAAATAAACGAGGATGATGATGATGCGAGAACGATACGGGGAAGAGGAGGATTGATGAGAATTAGTTTGAGAGTCGCTATGATTTTGTAGTCTAGGATAGAATGACGGACATAGAATGTTATGCATGGGGCGAGGAATCGCTTTAAAATGGCCGCTGAATTTTGGTAATTGATTGGTGGAAAATAAAATAGCTCAGACTGTTACTGTTGAAGAAAATTACTGTTGAAATTTTAAGTGAAAAGGCTTGAAATTTTTAACAATAACAAAGTTACATGAAATTTTTGTATATTATTTTTATTCGTATTTTTAACGTAATTCGTCACAAGAAACTTGTGACTGGCCATCGCCCGAGGGTCTTCAGTCTAATTTCGGTATATTTCTTCAATATTTTTTGATTATCGAAGTAATTCTCGATTTTCAGATCCATGTGGGACTGAAAAATGTTGAAAATTGGAAAAATTTAGGCAAAAACTTTTCAGAATTCTCAATCCATTGAAACTTCAAGTTTTCATTGAAATATCAATGATCGCTTAACATGAAAAACCCAATCTTCTTGAATTGCCAAGATGAATGAGAAATTTTATGAACATTTTCATTTGAAATTAAATTCAAACTCACAACATTGAGAATTTAGATGAAGCTGTGACTGAAATTTCAAAGAATTTCTAACAGTGTAGCGGAATGCCAATATTTTTGCGACACTTGAACAATTTGACTCATGAAATTTCAATCCTTTTCTAACAGTGCCGAGCTCATATTTTCAATGCTAGGGAAATCCTCATGACACATTCAGTAGAATTATTCCAGAATCTGGAAGTGGTGGGGCGACACTCTGAGTTAAGAATATTGCCGTGCAGTACCTATTCAAATGACGTCATCGTCACTGGAATTTCCTACTTGAAAAGTGATTGAAGCCGATGCTTTATCGGTTTTCATAGTG